AAATACGTAAGGGAATGTAAAAATAAAATAAATAATAACAGTAGCGATAGTGATAATAACAGTAATAATGATAATAATAATAATAGTGATAATAATATTAATAATATTGATGACGACACCAACAATAAGGATTCTAAATCATCAGTAGTAATTCCATACAAGGAAGGAACCTCGGAAGCCTTACTCAGAATTCTTAACAAGGTGGGAATAAAAACGGCATTCAAACCCACAAACTCAATTAGAAACAAGCTTTGTCGGGTAAAGGATCCTGTAGAGCCTTTAAAACAAAACAATTTAGTTTATCTCATACCCTGCTGGAATGATTGTCAGGTCCATTACATAGGTCAAACTAGTAGAACAGGGGCAGTAAGTCAGACTAGCTGAACATAAAAGCTTAGCAAAATCTAGATTGGTTGACCCGAATAAAATAAGAAATCTAGAGAATAGTTCAGCTATAGCACTACATGCAGTCACACACAACCATACAATAGGATGGGATAGGATGACAGTTTTAAAATCTAATGTCACAGGGTGGATGGAGGGAGAGATTGATAACAGAAGCTTTGTTTATCGAATCAACTACAAATACATGTAATAGGAATGATTCATCAGCTGTCCACGTGGATATCTGGAAAATTCTACTACCCATACGACAAATAGGAGAGAACAAAGAAAACTATAAAACTCAAGTTTCGAAGTCGTGTGATTACAATTGATATGATTATGAACAGCGTTAAATTTTGTTCGAAACGTCATCCAGTAAATAGTAATACTGTTTCGCTGAGCGTGTGATATACCTAATAAACAAACTAATATGGAATTACTTACTACCACAGTGCCCAAGTTTTACACATATATGAATTTTATTCACGTTACTATTGACTTTATGTGTGTCAAGAAGCTAGGGATATGTTTTGTTATTAACCATCTGAAAGTGTTATATCCACATATCTCCGCCAAATTTTTGGAGTAGGATTAAATGTACTAAGAGCCATCTTTTCCCAGCTCTCTATAAAGATATTTGTTACGATAGGGGATATTAGTGTTCCCATTGCTACACAGTCTGTTTATTTTATATATTTTGCCCTGGAATTTAAAGATACTAGATGTGAGGTATAACTGAATTCCTAAAATAAATTTTTCCTCAATGGGCAGCTTTGTCCTATGACTAAGTTCGCGATCAGACGTCAGTTCTCTTTTAACCGCTTCGACGTCTGTGAGGTCAACTACATAGGTCAAACTAGTAGATCAGGAGTAGTGAGATTATCAGAACATAAGAATTTACCTAAGGTAAGAATGGTTGACCCAGAGAAGATAAATAATTAGAAAAAACTCAGCTATAGCACTGCATGCATTAATACAACCATACAATAGAGTGGATGGGACAGAGTCAAAATTCTAAAATGTAATTTAGGTAGGTGAAGAGAGAAACTGATTATTGAATCCTGGTTCATCGAATAATCTATACCTAACATATGTAGGAGAAGTAACTCCACGTAAATACCAGAGATATGTATGGAAGATATTATTACCACCAGTCAAATCAGGAGAGGATAATAAATAATGTTAAAATGTATTCAATTCACATTATAACATTCTAACATGTTACTTATTATGACTATAAAAACACTCGTCTTATTTCCCATCTGACTGTATTTGATTGATAACACTAATATTATTATTTCCGAATGTACTTTATCTTATACTGATTTTATTCAAATGTCTAATCATCAACCTTTACTCATGCATATAAATGAAGCAAGAAGGTTACGTCAGTGATGCCTTGATATGATGACGATGAGCGGTGATAAAATGTGCTTGAAATGTGGTCATCATCAGTAAATATTGCTGTATAACAACACTGTGTGATTTAATCAAAATAAAATTTTATCCATAATGGACTCGCTAATTATCTGTAAGAGGGGAAGGTTTCGAGAGGCTTTGGTAAAATAGCTTGCAACGAAAAAACATTAATTCACACTAGCGGCATACGTGAAGAAGATTACGCAATGATATATAAGCAAGCAGTCGGAAGTAATTTGAAGTGAGTTAACACATCAGTGGCCATTGATCTGTACTACATATCGTCAGTTAGTAATAATCGAGAGAGTTTACAGCTGGTAATTAGTTGACTGATGAATATTTATTTGAAGGATATTTGAAAAAAGCAAGAACAACAGCAGTCGATTTTGTAGAATAACATGCTGCCATCATCGTTTACCTCGGTGACTTCTTATCAGCTGTTGCTTACAGCCTAAATAAATTATTATTATTAAGTTCATGAAAATGACCAACCAACAACAACAGCAGCAACATCCAACGCCAATCACCATCAACGGGAGGGATTTGAAAGAGGTTACTTCTTTCACTTATCTAGGGAGCATTGTCTCAACTACAGGAGAAACGGACGAGCATGTCAAATCGAGAAACACATTCATCAACCTGAAACCAATCTGGAAATCTTCGTCACTCAGCATCAACAACAAAGTGATTCGGATTTTCAATACAAACGTCAAGTCAGTCAGTTCTTCTATACGGATCAGAAACTTGGCGGGTCACAAAGAATATTTTCAACAGCCTGTTGCAGACCTTTATCAACAGCTGTCGTCTCTCTATACTGAAGATTAGGTGGCCGGAAAGAATCACCAACAAGAAACTATGGGAACAAACAAGACAAGAACCAATCGCCCAAGAAATATGCAGGGGAATATGGAGATGGATTGGACACTCTCTTAGGAGGCCACTGGATGACATCGCGCGTCGAGTGGAACCCGAAAGGGAAGCGGCGAGTGTGACGTCCAAGGGTGACATGGAGGAGATCGTGTGAGGAGTTGAAGTTGAAACAGTGTATGGACTAACATGGATGCAGGTGAAAAGTGCAGCAGAAGACAGAAGCAAGTGGAGACGTGTAGTTGAAGCCGTATGTTCCACTAGGAACCCTAGGGAACAATATTAATAATAATAATTTCATGTACAGAAAATTTTTAACATACTTGCAAATTTTACATGATGTCAGTTGACACAGGAGGTTCTGGACTTAGTGAACAGTGCTGAAAAAATTACATCTCTATAGTTTTTACACAGGGAGTTCAAGTTTTAACAAAGTAAATGCATGCATATAACGGTAAAGGAGTTTCGTAATAAAGACGAGAGGTATGCAAGGTGATGAGTGACTAATAAATCAGGTAACAATGTACTGAGTTCAACGTCAATCATAGAAACAAGCGACAAGCAAAATTACATTGTATCAAATGGGTGTTGTGGTGTGAGGTTAAAGCCGAGGATTACGTAATCAAGTGAAAGACAGATCGAAGACATCCAGTTACCGGGATGGGCAAGGAAAGAATGATCACTGCTTCTTCTTCTTCTCCTTCTTTCTAAGCACACATAAATCGGGTTTCAGGCGTTTGATAAAAAGCGAGAGAGATATTGCTTCAGGGGACTTGAGGAGAATTGAGCTTTTTTGTCTATTGACAATTTTCGAAATAATTCGCAAAACAAGGACTCAAACTACTGAAATTAAATTACACATTTTATGATGCAACAAATCAAGAAAAGTAGTAGATACTTTGGCCGCGATAGTAAAGGAGACTGGATGAAAGAAAAACCCGTTTCTAAACACAAAATTCAGGTTCTTCTTAGTGGAAAAATCTTCGTCCTCATGGAAACGATATGCACATGACCAACTCAATCTTATGCCATCTATGATATTGAATGAAGTGTCCCCTGACAGCTGCTTCATAACCAGAAGAAATAATAAGCTCTGAAATTGAATCTGTTTGGATTCAACATAGAACATGGCAACGAAGTACAGCAGTTCAAGTTGCCACGTTCCAAATACCACACAAAGGTAGACAAGAAGATGAGTGAAGAGAATCAATAGAGTTTTGACAAGTATAAGAGTGAAACAGAATGAGTAATGGTAGAAAGGAATATGAAAGATTACACAAGAGACTGAATACATCTGCGTAAGCCATTGACAACGATTTTGAGCCATGTCACCTATTGTCTCCAGCCATTGATTCTTAGAGTCCCAAGGGCGGGCTCCAACCCGGAAGTCTGCATCTCCCTACCTGACTCAGTTTAGATGTCAAGGATTTCATGGATTGATGAGACCATGTTTTTGTTTGGTCACCACTTGCTCTTTTCCAACCTGCACCTATATCAGCTAGTAATGGCCGTCGTGGAAGGCGATGGTTAGGCATGCGCAGCACGTGACCTAGCCATCTCAATCTATGTAACTTTATAGCCTTTTCGATTGATTTCCCCTCCTTGCCCAACACTCTACCCCTAACGTCAATATTACTTACCTTATTATACCACCTAACGTGAGAAAGAGATCGTAAACATCTATGATCAAAAACAGTCAACCTTTTCATGTCTTCAACTCGTATTGGCCACGTTTCATAGCCATAGAGAAGGACGGAGCAAACTGCTGAGCAGTACACACGTCCCTTGGTTGACAGCCGGATGTCACGCCTACGCCTGAGACGGCTTAAGTTGAGTAGCTATTGACCGGTACTATGATTTCTTCTACACTGAATAACTTATAATAATCACTACTATTACTATTTATAGTCTAGGGCTCACTATTGATTGCCTGTAGAATGAAGTTCCTGTGATAATTCAAACCAGCAGGATCCACCAGGTTGAGTGTGAAGCGCAAATACTCGCCATTAACATTGGCTAGTAGTCAGTCGTGCTATATAAAATTACGAGTCGGCAGAAGTTGGAATTCATGAGTCATTAGATTTCCCCTGAGTTTCTCAATGGTAAACCAGCTCACCTATTATTCTGACGAACCTAGGTTCAATCTCTGGTGGTGTAATGGGTAAGTACTACTGAAGAGTCCCATAATTGGGCGAAACAGCTGGTTTTCAATAGTTCTCTAACTGAAGTCATTATGATGGTCAATTTTGGAACAGTTTCTAGTTAGAGTATTATGAACATGATAACTCATAAATTTTATTGATTTTTTTTCCAAAATGATATCATTTTAGGAAAATTTCCAGTCAATGTTTTCAGCCAATGAAATTGTTTATTTATGCGCAGAATCAGAGAATATTCTTCCAGATCATTTTGAAAGCTCATCATCGTCATCATCATCAGAAGATGCCTCTATTGGTGTCACTGACAAGCAAGACAATCATCCAGTGAAATTCTCTGTGAATGATGTGTATGTCATCGGTGGATTAATTGATCATAATAGTTTGAAAGGATATTGTTATCGACAAGCCTGTGAACAAGGTTATCGAACAGCTAGACTACCATTGAAAGAGATCGACCTACACATAGAAGGTCGACATGTTCTATCGACTGTACATGTTTTTCAAGCACTGTGTCCAGTTCTATCAGGTACGAAAACATGGTTAGAAAGTTTGAAATTAGCTATACCGCCTAGGAAATTAACAGTGACACATAAGTGATACATGCTTCTTTCCTTCCTTGCTACTTTTATACATATATATAATTTCAAATAAATTGTATATATTCTCCTGATGTCTGCTTTCTTTAAAAAGTATCTCAATTACATTATTTGATGATAACTGAGTTGTTTTCATTGATGAAAAGGCAATAAAATAAACCATAGCAACGACAATGAAGACAAAGAACAGTTATGTAATGGGTGGGGGCTTCAGTGGTATAACGCTCACCAACCAACCAACCACGCCTCAAGTGATCCGGGTTCGAATCTGAATAAACTTATTGTAAGCGGAATGTCGCTTGAAATTAAGTCACGCGTAGATAAAGGCTATCCCAGTCCAGAACAAGCAAGAAGCCGGTCACTGTTTCTACGGTACTATTAATAAACAAATCAATAATTATATATACAACAAACCTTAACGGTTTCAAGAGTACAAAGCACAACGCTTAACAGAAAGCAAGGTACCGCTATCAGAGCGGAATAACGTTAAAGCCAAAATTGCGAACTAGCCGGAATCAGACACGACCGTTCAGGTAAGCAGTCAGTTGAAGAATGAACCCAAGTAAGGCGGGCATAGAACAGAGAGCGGTTAAGAGATAGACAGAGCATAGGCACAAAGATAGAATTTAATTGGCTACTTAACCAGGTACGCTGATACAGATGAAGATCAATAAATAAGATAAACTCGACAGAATAATACAAAGTAAGACATGGGTCAGCAAAAATAACAGTTCACAAAAATGCTCTCATTGGGTCATGATTTCAACTTTGTGACTAAACGGATCGATGTAAACACACACACACAGTTCATTAAACAAGGATGGATAGACACGTTAGGCATGGATAATTGGGTTGCAACAACGCTAGGCTGGTCCGGGACAGGTTTACCTGATTCAAGGATGGGAATTGAATTTATCTTACACTTATTCTTAAACGTCGCTTAGATGGTGTTATTATTTAAATAAAGCAATAAGAAGACGTAATTTGTCTGAATCGTGTATTGTATGCATTTGCGCAACACATTTCGAAAAAGCTGATCACACTCCACTTACTTGTCATAGGAATATATATATATATATATATATATATATATATATATATATGAAATTAATAAAGAGTTAAGATGTGAGAAAATAGACTACTTAGGTCAAGTTAAAAGGCCACCATACTGAAGGTCATAATAACAATGAAGATCACTAAACCAAATAACAGAGGTAATAGTGTATCTGCCCTGGCTAGTATCAAAACAACATTTACCAAGGAAGGTATAATGTGATGACGAATTGTTGTTTTGAACGCATAAAGATGGTTTAAACTTTCTAATTGCCAGCTAGGGCTTCCACAAACTTTAGGATACACACTCCCCCAAACACATTTTATAGATAGACAGGTTTAAAAGATCTGTTAACGTCAATTTTATGTCCTGTCTCTATAATATGTTTCGCAATAGAGGAGCTAGGTCGCCGTCTGTTCTCACCATTAATGGGTTCTGAAGATTCTATTTGTTTCTGGAGCCACTTAGGAATATGCTCTGAAGTCAGCCCTTACTTGCTGGCAGAGATCGATGAGTCCTCCCTTCTATGTATGTATGTCCATACGTACATTCAAATTGGTAAATATAGTGGGATGTGACATCATTTTTCGCATGTTCAAAGGGCTTAGATGGTGGATATATTGGCTTCACATTCTCAGTTATTATGATATTACCTGCATAAAAAGTCTTTCTAACTACTACAGCGTTCAGCCTTTGTCTGGTTATCAAGCTGCTATGATGCCCCATATAGGATACCTGGCTTGATGTACACGTCTTTCTTAGGGGCGAGTTGTGGGTATTATTATTATTTTGTGGTGAGAGCTGGCTGCTAGTCAAAGTCGGTAGATAGTAATTGACGTCAATGTTTATGTTCCCAATATTGGGGGTGAGAAAATGAAAACAAAGACTTTGCATAGGCGGATACAGTTAGCATATGAATGATCTGACACAGCCACAAAGAGATGCAAAATCAACTTTCTGTGAGAAACAACCAATCAAAAGACTGTATTTTCTACTAACAAAAATCTAAAATAATGTACATTAAAATCTATAAATATGTGTTAATTTTCCTTAATAAACGATCTGTTGCTTGACCCTTGTCTTCCGTTGTTACAGTAGCAGTAGACATTTCAGCACAATAGAACTGTATTTTTAGGCGGAGAAGCTTGTCCAACTAAATCCTACCTAATTACATCAGTGTTATCCAATGCGGCAAAGGTGTTATCTCATCAGCAGTTAGTATGATTTGTGATATTTCGAAATGTTCGTCACTTGTGTTGCTTACAGTTATGACTCAACGATGAGACGATAGAATTCAGCAAGGTCTTAAATGTTCCAATAATTAAATTGCGTGAATTTGATAACAAGGTAATATGGATAACAGTTGAGAGAAAATTTCTCAACTTAACAGAATTCTACATTGTTTCACGAATTCCAACCAGCAACTGATGCTTTGACGTTAAGTGATGAGTGTTGTTATAGTGAGTATATTTGTGTTTTAGATCACTGGGTGCTCAAACAAAAGACTTGTGTGTGCAATAATTTTATTGGACAGTTAAACGCGTAATGCAATTAATCAGAATTGACTTATAGAGATTATACGTTGCTCTGTAAAGCACAATGTGTTCTGAGATGTTACATTACTTTCATTGTGTTTCTGTACCTACGTCTTAATCCTCTCAAGTGAAACTATACTTCTCTATGGTAATTAGGTAAATGAGACTCTGTGGCTACTTCAGATACTTTTATGAAAACGGACACGTTTGCGATTGGATGCTTCGATGACAACAGAGTCATGTATGTGCATTCACATAATTGTCTGAATATTCATCGAGAATTCTCGACCGACTTACCTTGAATAATTTACTAGTCTACAGTAAGCCTGGAAAAGAGGAAGGTTAGGTGGGTTGGCGAATTCTTTACGGGCGTCGATACGGTGGCGGTGTATCGCCTGGACTGGAGCCCAGTCTCAAGTCAGTATCCTGACAGGACATGCAACATCAGTTAAGTAACACACTTTGCAATAGAAACGGATAATCTCACGCAGGATATCGTCATAAGGCCCCCCACTGGTTGGCATATCCAACCCCCTCACTCTCCGGCCGTAACTGCACCTGAGACTGTATGCTGGCCATAAATTCAGTGGACATATCACATCTCAGGGATGGTCTCAACAAATGCACTCTGACACCACTAACAAGCATGCAACCATTATGCTAAGTGGCAGGACAAACCCTCGAGAGCAACGACGATGCCTTAATATTACCCCCCTGTGGCACTTCACCCCTGACCAAGGGTCGCACATGATAGGGCTGTTCATTCTGAAATCAAGTAGTATGCAAGCAGAATACGAGTAACCCGGCAGACTTCATTCGGCTTGCCAAGACCTGTGTCATTCAGTCGACACCCGAAACCGATAGCATAGTCCAGACGCTTTCCTATGTCAGGACAACGGTCATACACTCCTCAAATCAAGATGAAGCACATTTCTGATGAGCTAACATTCAGCGTGCTGGATTGCAGGCAAAAACTACCCACAGTTGTTCTGTTTCCACTGGGTTGATCGATTAGGAAGGTGACTAATAGCGACCTGCTGTCTTCATCGCCCAATGCCGAAAATCTTCGGTGAGACGCTGATGCTTTCGCGCCAAGAAAATTGAAGGCCATACCACCAACCAGCGCCAGATGACCTAAAGGTCAAAGAGTACACCTTTCACTATACAGGCACCAAACACTTTTCACACTCTAGGGTTGACTAACTAGACAGGAACCATTGTTTACCCGCACACACCGCCCTGTTGTCTTCGCCACACATTAGATGCGGATAGGCTTCAGATAACCGAATGGTGGAACTTTTATCTATTACAAGTAAACCAATAGTAGGACTATGTACTATGGTAACAGGCGTCAGTGTTACAGCGGTTAGGACGCTCGCCGACCATGCACATAGTCCGGGGTTCGATCCCCGGCCAACGCACTCCTTTACCTCGCTAAGGTAGAAATAATGCTGGTAAAGTGGAAAGGTTGGGCGTGGAGCTAGCAACCCCATCCTCTAAAATAAACACTGCTACAGAAACTTCAAGCCACTAGCTTGTAGCCCTATGTTCCACTGGGAACATGAAGGAAAAAGAAAAAAATACTATGGTTAAAAATTTTCACGTTTTGCATAGAGCCTTTCTGTGAGATTAGATGATGAGGCATTTGGTTGCCTTACAACATAAAAATAATACCACGGCTACTGAAGGTCCATATAGATATAAACCAGAAATTCGTCCATGAAATTCACTGATTAAATAATCCTGTTTTTCACGGAACTGGAATGCTAGCCTAACAGGTAACGTTCCGTCATTCTGGGCGTCTGGACCGGCTAGAAAATTAGGCGAGATTATATTTAATTAGTGATACCTAATTGTACGGGTTGTGGCAAGATTCGAACAAACAGCTTCCCTGATTTCACTTCACCTGTCGTATCATCAGCGTAAGGCTATCTTAAATATTCTGACCTAAGCTAACATCTCTAATGAAGTATGCAGACTTTTTTCTTGAACTCAGATATTAGATTGGTCATTCACGATCCAGGCCATGTACCACACATACTATCGTGTAAAGTCTGATGATACTAACTAGTTGGTGCTCAGGCTGAAATACACATAATGGGGTTCGAGACCAGCACTGGAATACTGGAGCGAAACGGACTTGCCAACATTGTTTCATTATTATTACCTTGGGTTTCGAGTTGAAAATTGGGCTCCAGCGACATTTCTCCATTTCATCCTGTTCTTTGCAGTACTCTTCTACTAGCCCCACTATTGCTCATACGCTTTCATCTGCTCACATGATCTCCATGTCAACCTTGGACGCCAAACTCGTCGTTCTCCATTCGTGTCCCACTCTTGCGATGTTATTCAACGATATCCATGGCGAATGCTAAGTCCACCTCCATTTTCTTCATCATATTTTTCGAGCAATCGGTTCTTGGTTGGTTCTTCAGTAGAGTTTCTGGTTGCTAATTCTTTCTGTCCGGCCACTTGATCTTAAATACGGAGCCATCAAAGGGGGCAGCTGTTGATAAAAGTCTGCAATAGCATGTTGTGATTGCTTTCCGTGACGCACAGAGGAAGTTTCTGACCCATATAGAAGGTTTCACTTAACGTTGATGTTGAAAATCCGAATCTTGTTCTTTATGCTGACTGCAGAATATTTCCCTTGCTTTTCGAATTCAGCCTAGCTTTGAAATCTTCATCCGCGAAGTCGGCTGTAGTTGAAACGATGCTTTTTAGATAAGTGAAGGAGGTAACTTTTTGAAATTCCTTCTGTTGATGGTGATTGGTGCTGTTGGTTGGTTATCTTCATCACTTACGTATTACCTATGTTCACTTAAGGTCCTGTCTTCGTTGCCAGCCTCTTCTGGCAGTTTGTTGGTTTCCGCCCGTAGGTCTTCGATTTTGTGTGACGTTAAATATAACTCGTCTGCCGCAAAATCCAGATCTTCTAATCTGTTCAGCATATTTCTGTCTTCTCACTCCCCACAGTCTCACTCATAATCCAGTCCATTACAATTAAGAATAATATGTGGGCAACCTTGTCTTGCGCCCTTTTTCACTTTGAAAGCTCCAGTGAGATTAACGTTGGGGTTCATAAGTGGTTGCGCCACAGGATGGTGCTGCATGCTGGCCTCGTCTCGCGAGAAGCAGAGATAGGTGTGTTCGGTGCCCCCCCCCGAAAACCAATACCTAGTCAATGACTGTATCATTTTGTAAATTTGTTCGAATCCCGGTGGGTGCGTACTGACGAAGAGTCCCAAACTAGCAAGAAACAGCTGTCCGGTACTCCAGTGGTGGTTTTCCAATGGTTCTCTAACTGATTTCGGCTCATCATAAAATCCTGCGGCAAGAGTAAGCAATAGACACCAAAATCAATGACCTTGATTCGGCCAATCAGCTCAGCATTACAAATGGATGCTAATCATAATCCTCGTTGTAGGTGTCTCCTAGATATTGTTTTTAACTTCTTTGTGGAAAATGGGTTGATAGGGGGAAGACTGAAACATGCATATGTGGAGGGATAGTGACTCTGAAAATGTATTGCCGGGCTAGTGATGGTTATGCATTCAGATGCAACCATTGAGAAACTGGGGCCAGTTTTTGCAGCATATTAGAGATATATAGCCTATATGATTCATTTATATTACACATATATCATAGGTACTCTTTTTTATAAATTAAATACCACTTTTCATCTAGAAGAATCTGACTGGCTATTTCAAGGTCGTCTAAAGTTGGTGTTGCCAATCCTCCAAACAATATGATTTTTTTCTACATAGTGGTAATGATTACCCGCGAAATTCGTAAATCAAAACGTTGTTGTAAATGCGTGTCAATCAATGCATCATAATATCTCAAATTATAATTGACATTATCTCTTTTATTTGAACACTAGCTAGTAACTAGTGTAATAAGTCTAGTCTTTTGTTTGGTGCAGACTGAATTCTATTAGTCAGGTTTGCAATGTCGTAACCACGGTGTACTGTGAATTGTTGGTATTAGATGGTTAGAGGCAATCGGCCACAGGAAGCCTTGCTTGACCTAGGTTTCATGCTAGTTGGGGCACTCATCAGCAAGGCGTATCTGCATCCCCGAAGGTATTCATGTCCTCTCTGAGAATCGAAACTACGTCCACCAGTGATGCATCTAGAGACTTTACCACTGAGCTAGCTATTTGGGATCACGATTGACCTCCTGTGGGACTGTGTTGGATATTTTTGATTGGACATTAGTGTAATGTGTGTGTCTACTCCTATCTTTGGTGCAGACTGACTAGTGTGCAATCATAAATATCTAATACACTCCTAAAGAAGGCCAATCGCGAGCCCAAATAGCTAGCGCAGTGCCAACGTCTCTGACTGCAGCACTGGCTGGTGACGCGGGTTCGAATCTCAGAAGGGACATGAGTTCCATCAAGGTTGCAGATACGCCTTGCTGATAAGCGCGCCAACTAGCATGAAACCTAGATCAAGTAAGGCTCCCTGTAGCCGATTGCCTCCAACCAACTAATACTAATAATGACATAACACCTCTATTATTTTTGCTCAATCAAGCAATACACGAACGAACGCATACTGACTGAAAGATACAATATGGATGTATATTCTATTGAATCTGATGCTGTCTTTCTGTTTGCTTCGTTATTCATAATATGAGAGAGATGAGAGTTTACCTACACACACTTAGGTGGTATCTCAACCTCACTGCATATGAAAATACAATCCAGTCACATTTGATAAAGATCACACAAACTCCAACCCGATAGACTAGGTGTAATTCACTCATACCTTACACTTTAAACGAGGACACTTCAATTCCTTCTCATCCAAGTGTCTGAGTTCCTACGTAAAACCTTGCACAGGCACAGGAGTGCAGTACTTCAAGTTGCCACAGTCTGCATAGGGTAAGTACCAAGGTGGTGAAAAGAGATTCGCAAGACCTGTACTGAACACAAATGTGGGAGAAAGAATATTAACCTGAATAGTGATTTAATAGGACATGTAAGGTCAGAAATAGCGAATGCATCTGAGCCACTGAAAACAGTTTACGCCAGTACCAACAAACAGTCTCAAGCCGTTGATTCTTACTATCTCGAAGACCCCAACAAATGACGTCTTCAGCATCCTAAATAACTCAAACTAACAGTCAAAGATTTCATGGATAATAGATGTCATGTTTTGATCTGCAGTCCCCTTAAACCATTCCCAATCTTATCTTATTTGAGCTAACATCGATCGATCGATCCATGAGGTGAAGAAGGTAGTGATGATTGAGCATGCATAATACACCTCAATCGATACAGCTTCACAACCTTATCGACTGATATTTCCTTTCTTACCTAACACTCTATACACGCCTCACCTCAATATTTCCCCCGGACACAGCTAACCTTTTCAGGTCCTCCACTATCAATCGTAGCGTCTCACAACTATAAAGAAGTACAAAACAAACTGTTTCACAGTACACAATAGCCAGAGACGATATTACTTGGCGAATGTTACACAAGCTTATTCTGTTTGTGCAGGAACAACAGTAAATATAGTAGGCGTACTCTCTCCCACCCTCTCTTTACGAAATCGATTAAATCCCGGCTTAATATAACAATATACATTGAAAGAATAAATATAAGCAAATTATACAAAATAATGACAATCTAAATATATTTCATAAATAAATATATATATATATATATTCTATAAGTACATTTACACGTAAATATACAAACATGTACATATTATATAAAAAAAAAATATGGGGAATTATAAAAAGAAATGAACAATGAAATCGAAAGAGGAAGAGAACAGAACGGAACAAAACAGAACAGAACAGAACAGAGAACATGAAAGAAAAAAAACCAAGTGTATTTACAACAAATAGAATCATTGCTCGTCCCCTGCCGCCCCAAGCAATCAAACAAGGTAGATCCTTTCACGTACACACCAACGTGCTTGCTTGGCTTAAAGTCTTCACATATTATTAATCACTGGTAGGTATGCATTCCACCATTTCAACGTCTAAATCAATAACATTGTTGTTATTAGTATTAAGACTCTGAAAAGAAAAGAAAAGAAATAAATGTTTAATTGAATTTTAGATTTTCCCGTAGATTGAGAAATGCAGGCACATCCAGTTGACGAGTCCCAAATAGGACGAAATGGGCATCCTGGCTTCCACTGCTAATCACCATCCACCAATTAAATAGAAATAAATGTTATTTGACTTTTTTTTCAAAACACCCCACGATCTAACATCAAGTTAGAGAACCATTGAAAACCACGAAGGCGGTGTACTGAACAGCTGTCTGGGACTCCTCAGCATCATGTACCTACAACAGTTGGAACCAAGAACCTTCCAGTTACAAAATGAGATTGTAGACTACTCTCAGTCATTGAGACCCGGATCCAAAGATCCATGAATTCCGAATGCTACCACATTCGTGAGTCAATGCCATCGCTGGCGAGTATTTATTGTTACACTCCACTTTGACTGTAACAACTGCGAAAAACATTACACTGGCAAAAGTGTACGTCCCCCTCGTCTTCGTATGCACGAACATAAGCTATCCGTTAAAAGACATGACACCCACTTCCTCATATCACTCGCTGCATACAGACAACCACGGACATCAATTCGATTGGGACAATGTTCAAATATTAGACAGAGGAAACAACAAAAATGCTACAGAATTTTTCGAAGCTTGTCTGGCATTCCAGTGAATCATCGATCAATAGACACATCGAGATTGACAAAATTTATCAACCGATAAGAAAGAAACCTTACACACAAAGGGTCAAAGTTCCAGTGAAAGAAACAATCAGTTCCAATACAAGTAACCTAGAAGGTGTGAAAACGCATAAAAACAACCAATCACGCCCAAGGTCACCGGGAGAGATGAATAATAAACTGGTGGAGAAATCTAAAAGCTCGCTTCATGAAATTGAAGCGTATGCGCTGAAGATGTCACCTAGTAGGGTGATGAAAGCTTCGCAAATTAGCTATCCAGCTCAGAGAATACAACCGCATCAAAATCACCCACCTGAGCTACAAATCTTCCCCATCATACCCCACTACTACCTGATGAACGCCACTGGTAACGGCTATTCACTACAGATTCATGCAACTTCGTTATGCAACCAGTAACTGACTAACAGCAAGCATTAGGTTAATTTTCACGAATTAGTTGGTAGAGATTTGATTCGCTTCACGCTCGATCACGAGCTAACATCAGTTAGAGAACCACTGAAAAACACCAGGGTGTAGCGGACATCTGTTTCGTCCTCCTCGTTTGGCACTCCTCACCACCAGTACGTACCCCTACTACTGCAGGGTTTCGAGTCCAAATGATTGTGGTCAAACTTCAAACAAATAAATTTTACTTAAAACACTGTAAAAAATTACCATCTGAAGAGAAATTTCCCACCTTGAATCATTAACAAAAGATGTAAAAAGTGAGGGAATCCTCCTCTTTTCGACAAAATTGTAATTATTTAACAAGGAATTCACAGAACCAATCAGATACTGGCAATTCTCTCTATGTCGGACAAAAGTGTATTCCGTAATCTAATGTGCAATTTTAGAAGGTATTGACTAAGAGGAGATTAAATAAAGCAATAAGTGTGAAAAATTGTCTGGTCAATCCAAAAAATGCAGAAAAGGTAGTGAGGAAGCACGATAAAGTGTTTGTAGAAAATCTATATGAGAAATACAACGTTGTGAATTTTAAAAGTACACCTCTCAACTTTAGATCCTCCTATGAGTAATGCTTCATGATTGCCTATCGGATGGACTGAAAGTCTCATCGACACGACGGTAGATGGGAAGGTGAGTTACATTAAATCGGTAATGTCTATGTGTAAAATACAAATATATTGAACACCTGAAAACATGTATACTATTTATATATATTTGGAGTTATTAAATGGTTGAAGGCGATCGGCCACAGGAAGCCTTGCTTGACATAGGTTTCATGCTAGTTGGGGCACTCATCAGCAAGGCGTATCTGCAACTTCGAAAGAACTCATGTCCTTTCTGAAATTCGAATCCGCGTCACCAGCCAGTGCTGCGGTCAGACTTTACCACTGACCTCGCTATTCGGGCTCGCGATTGACCTTCTGTAGGACAGTATTGAATACTTTTGATTGGATACTAGTTACTTACTGGGAACGCCATCATTCAGTGGGCGAGCAGGGGAGTAGATGCACAGCCGGCTGACGAATGTTAAATGAGATGAAACGCAAGTCATGTATTCCACTACCTAGCTACCAATAACTTCAGATGTGTATATACATATGTCCGTGCGCGCGTGTATTCCTGGACTGTTTTTAATCGTCAACATCAACTACACTAGCATAAATTTAGTTTTTATTTTACAATAAGCAACAGCAGGTTTCACAAGTAGTCATATCTGTCAAGTGGGAAGTAGACGTGCTACTACTACTATGGCTTATATGCTTCTGCCTACAGGTGATAGAGGAAGTTAATAAACAATAATACTATGACGGCACTCCCCCCTCCACATTCACACAACTATTATCAATAAGTCTATAAGTATAGTATGTGCTTCGGGCCGTCTAAATGCATAGTGTTGTCGCACGATCGGCAAGTGCTTGTATCCGCACTCACTCTAAGTTGTTGAAAACTTCGTGTATCTACGTAGTTCAATGATATGTAAAACACCTGACCGTTTAGGGAAAGCTAGAGTGATATACGTATATTTGGGCCACCTTTAGCGTCGTCGCGACGTCACCCTATCTGTCAAACGTCAAGTTTACAAAGCTTCAGGGCATATAGTCTTGCCATGCCTCCTGTGAAACCTGTCTTTTCCAAGCTGAAGATGTGCAGCAACTTCGCGTATTCGATCATGACTGCCTCTGTAAAATTTCCCCAATCTGATGAAATCATCGTTTAAGTAGTTCTGAGGTCCAGGCAGTATGTGTTATCTGAACACCTTGGAGACCGCCTGTCATTTCAGGTAATGTGGTAATCTTGAAACTCCGGCTTCCATGGCATTCGGACATGTGCTGAGAATGTTATCCCAGAGGCTCCCCCACCAAAACCATTCTATGGAAACGTCTCACCATGGGATGAAGGATATTTGTATTAGGTTAGCATCCGCCCGTACATCACAACTTCCTGGACTGGTGTTCGAGAGAAGTGACCGCGAGATACGGTCAAGAATCGCAACCAAACATGAACATACAACAATTTCCTTCTTTCTTCCCTATTCTGAAAGTACCATGAAGTGATGAGTATTGGAAAATGATCTTGACAAGTAGGCTTATATGCTTATCTTAATAGATGATCTCCCCCCCCCTTGATTTAATTCTAGACAAAAGTTAAACTTTAAGCACCACTAACTACCAATCACTGAATGACTTTGAGCGCACCAACCACATGAAGGAGGTATTTCTGTTTATGGAATACCTTTCACATGTGATAAAAACATCTCCCAGTCTAGCATATGAGTATCAATGTAAAAGTTACACCGCATCCTATGCATATGTATTCATGTATATGACTATATGACAGCTAGTCTTTTCATGTCTTCTGCTCTCAATGGCCAGGACTCACAGCCATGAAGGAGGACGGAGCGGACTGTTGAGCAGTACACACGCCCTTTGGTCGACCCGTTGGGGCTGGTGGTTGATCTCAGACGAAATTTCAGCACGAATACAGAGGCCTAGGTTCGCATACGCCAGTTTTCGCCGTCTCTGGCGTAGACGCGATATCCGACTATCGACCAAAGGGCGTGTGTACTGCTCAACAGTCCGCTCCGTCCTCCTTTATGGCTAGCTGTGAGACCTGGCCATTGCGAGCAGAAGACATGAGAAGATTAGCTGTCTTCGATCATAGGTGTCTGCGTTCTATCTCCCATGTGAAGTGGTATAATAAGGTGAGCAATATTGAGGTTAGGCCACCGGTCGAGTGCTGGGTAAGAAGTGGAAATCAATCGATGAGGCTGTGAAATTACATCGACTGAGATGGTTAGGACATGTGTTACGTATGTCTAGTCATCGCCTCCCTCGACATCAGGCAATGTTAGCTGACATAGGACGGATCAGGCTGGAAAAGAGCTAGTGGTGGTCAAACCAAAACATGGCACCAGTCAATGAAATCCACAACAGTTAGTCTAAGTCACGTAGGAAGGTGTAGACTTCATGACTGGTTGGGGTCCTCGGGATGGTAAAAACCAATGGTTGAAAACAATTGGTGACATGGCTCAAAATCGTTCTGGATGATGGCTGGTGCAGATGCATCCACTCCTTGTAACTTATGATTTCCAATTAAACTTTTGTTCTCCGTTATTACTATTCCTTTGTCTCACACCTCTGTTTACTGTCTCTAATGTGCATTTCTTCTACTTTCTTCTCTTGGTTTGCGTGCTACATGGATTGTGGCGACTTGAACTGGAGCACATATGTGCAAAGTTCTATGTCGGAAACCGACCGACCGACCGTATATGACTATAAATAGTATCGCTTTGCGATCTGTTAATGGCTCTAATCCTGTTTTTAACCTTCCACAAAATTCTTTGCTAGGATTGATGTCGGTCCTTGTAAAATGGGAGTTGTTGACTCTATGGTGAATACATACAAGGGATGACAAGGAATTGTAACCTCTCCACGCATCTGTGCGTATTATAGATGCTTATTTCACCAGTCGAGTAATAAAAGGTTATAAACTACCAAACTTTCTATCTGCTATTCTCTCGACGAATCCTTTCTGTAGAAAAGTATCTCATACGTTCCTACGAAATACCAGAATAATCAGCTTACCTTCCCTGACACTAACTTGTCTCAAACAAATTACACACCAACGTACAAATCCATCAATTGACCTGCCGACGCTTTTTATAGCTATCACACTTCCCCCCCCCATGAACAAATCCTTTGTTTCCTAATCAACCCCACATCTAAGCAATACTGGAGGACTTCATCCTCGCTAAATTACAAGCGCAACTGCGTACAGGGCAGGTATTTCACTCGAATCAGGCGGAATAGAAGCTTCAACTCACATGAATAAATCTCGTTAAACCATTCAAGGTCAATTGTGAGATCGAAGTCTTTTGTTAGTTAGTGGTGTTAAAAGTTCAACTCGGTTAAACTCTATCCCTATTTTCCGGATACATTATATTGTCAAGTATTGATCTTTTGTAGAGATTTTGTTTGATTGAGAGGAGGATTTCATCATGAGCTGACATCAGTTGAAGAACCACTGGAAAACCTAGGAGTACTAGACAGCCAGCTGTTTCATCCTAGTTCGGGACTGATTTCAGCTCATGATGAAATCCTCCATCCAATCAAACAAAATCCCTACAAAAGGCCAATACTTGAAAATTAATCTGACGCTCACTAGCGACTGGCACTATTCAGGCAGTGACCTGGAGTTCAACATACACCGTCTCTGGCGTAGGCGTGACATCCGGCTATCAACCAAGGGATGTGTATACTGCTCAGGAGTTCGCTCCGTCCTTCTCTATGGTAGTGAGACGTGGCCATTGAGAGCGGAAGACATGAAGAGATTGTCTGTTTTTGACCACAGATGTTTACGATCTCTTTCTCACGTTAGGTGGTATAATAAGCTAAGTAATGTTGACGTTAGGCGTAGAGGGTTGGGCAAAGAGGGAAAATCAATCGAAGAGGCTATAAAGTTACATAGATTGAGATGGCTAGGTCACGTGCTGCGCATGCATAACCATCGCCTCCCCCGACGGAAGGACATTACTAGCTGATATAGGTGCAGGTTGGAAAAGAATAAGTAATGGCCAAACAAAAACATGGCATCAATCCATCAAATCCTTGACAGTTAGTTAAACTGAGTCAGGTAGGGAGATGCAGACTTCCGGGTTGGGGCCCGCCCTCGGGACTCTAAGAATCAATGGCTGGAGACAATAGGCGACATGGCTCAAAATCGTTGTCAATGGCTTACGCAGATGTATTCAGTCTCTGTAATCTTTCATATTCCTTTCTACCATTACTCATTTTGTTTCACTCTTATACATGTCAAAACTCTATTGATTCTCTTCACTCATTTTCTTGTCTAGCTTTGTGTGCTATTTGGAACGTGGCAAGTCGAACAGCTGCACTTCGGTGCCAAGTTCTATGTTGAATCCAGCCAGCCAGACCTGGGGTTCTAGTGGGAAGCCATGATCACTAGGGTGCTAGGTTGAAGATGAGGAGAAGCGGTTGCGCTATGTGATGCGTGAATTGGCATAAGTTAGAATTCATGACCTGGCCAAATTGGATCAGGTCCAAGTAGCTTAATGACCTACGAGCTGACTCACCTTGTAACAAAAATGCCCTGGGTTCGAACCCCGGTGGGTGCGTACACTATATTGTGTATGATACCACCCGTTGCGTAACAAGTGTCTGTGTGTATTTTTGAATAATTCAATAAGTAAGAATACTTGGGTAAACAACAACATATAAAGTGAAGACGGTTAGTCAACAAAACTTACCGCAAGTAATTTAGCTGTATTTCCATTCATCTCACCATTCATAATTAATTTCTTCTTTATCACGACGTCATCACCATCATCATCAGCATCAGCATCTCCGTTTTGATCCCGGTTACCGCCATCAACATCATCATCATTATCAAACATATCATCATCTAATATAATTGTAGTTTCATGATTATTTTCAACATTTTCCACTTGTAGATCATTAACAACTGTCGGCAAAGTAGATTTTGGTGAAGTGACAATAGTTAGACCGGCACCATCACCACCGCCACCACCTTGTTGCTGCTGCCCTACTTGTTGTTGTTGTGTTTGTGATGATGGCAACATTGATTTTGTTGATGCCGCGGCACGGACAATAGCCCGCAGATCATTCTGTCGACCGTGTGAAGTTGCAACACGCATCACCAGTCCACGTAAATGATCCATTAATGGTTTCGGATCCAATGTGATTGTCTTTGTGATATTATATGTTTTATATATCCCCACTAATCGATCGGATAATTCAAACATATTATTACGTAATGAGATCACTATGAATTGAGCATTTTTTGTACGTTCTTTTAGGTAATTGCCAACAATAGAAACATTTTTAAAATCTAATGCAGCATCTATCTCATCCATAACATACAGCGGAGTTGGTTTATAATGATGTAAGGCAAAGACTAAGGCTAAGCTAGACAGTGTCTTCTCACCACCTGAAAGATTGGCAATATTTTTCCAAGATTTTTTCGGTGGACGTACACTGAATACAATACCTTCAGAGAATGGATCCAGTGAATCGATTAATTCTAGTTCAGCATCACCACCTATAAATATAAAAAATTAACAAATACAAGAAATTTAATTCAATTTTAGATTTTCCTGTCGATTGACAACTGGACCGAAGTGCTCAGTCTCAGGTTAACATATCGGCTTCTTGTGCAGATGCTTCCACGATGCCGGGGCATGTAATAAGAAGTTAATCAGTGGATAGTGACTAGCAGTGGAATCCACCAGGATAACGTGCATTTCGTCCCATTTGGGACTCATCATCTGGATGTGTCTGCATTCCAGCAGTGAATGATGATGTTCCCAAGACGCGAAAATCTACAATTAAATTAAATATGTGTTGAACTTCGGTAGGAACATCATCCACTACTCACTGGGGAACGCAGGTACATTCACTGGTTGACGAGTCCCAAATAGGACGAAATGCGCGTTATCCTGGTGGATTCCACTGCTGGTGACCATACACCGATTAAATACAAGAAATATATAGACATTCAACAGTAATGTAAATTAACTTGAATTCACAATTCGACGAGGTGAAATTTCACTAGTTTTCTATGGAAAGCGAATTGTATTCATCATTAAATCGCATAAATGCATGACACTATAAGCTACTGATTGATTGAGCTGAATAGTAAGTTGCCACCTACATCCTTATCATCATCATCAACAACAACAACAACAACAATCAGTAGTGGTTGTTAGCCAGTAAGATAGAAGTAATGCAGTCACCGCATGGACTGTTCCGCTGGTTTGAGGCTGAGTTCATCATTGGAGTAACCAGTTTTGACCCTGTCCAGAGAACCTAATCATCAGTGTTTAAACCATCTGAATTCTAGCCGGCTACCTAATCTGGATGAACTATCAATACGTTATATATATATATATATATATATATGTACAAACCAAGTTCACTTTTAACAGTTTGAAAAAAATTGGGCATTAGGTATATGCGACATTCATTATATAATAAAGACAGACAAATGGTGTTCCAATGGGTTGAACAGTCTCCCCAATTGTCGCTGGTAAAATTTCATGAATAGATTCGAAGATAACATCTTTTCAAGCATACTCACTCCTAAAATATATTTAACATATGTAGATGATACTTTTGTAGTACTGAAACGAGATCTACACAGGTCATTCTTGGAGGAAATAAACAATCTATCTCCCAGAATCCAGTTTACTTCGGAAGGAGAATCACACGTCGGTGAACTACCATTTCTAGACTGCCCGGCTAGTTAAGAGGAGGGAAAATGGAAATTTTAGTATATCTAAATTCAGGAAGAAAACCCACTCCAATAAATATTTAGACTTCGGATCATCACACCCCATCAGCGCAAAGGTATCACATAAAACAGCCCGAGTGTTCTTCAGTTTTCTGAAGCTATAGCAATGAATTAAAAGTCAATCTGAACGAAGAATATTCTTTTCAATCAATTCTCCTCTTCAGGTTCTTACAATTATAAAATTTAATATTTATTGTCGTTACAATAATGATAACCAGTTATTCGGCGGATACATTTTTTTCAACGTACAATAACAGATTAGTTATCGCAGGGTGACAAAAAAATAGTCGTATTTGTGTGACAAAAGTGCTGTGGGTTGAAATCGATTACAAAATATTGTGAAATGCGAGACAATGATGATGGTGATTAGTCATAATAGATTTGTGGAGTGTGGGGTAGGAAAATTGACAAGTCAGTTCAAGGTTATAAAAGGTGTCAGGTGAGTGAGTGGCTAGTACAAACTGGTATGCATTAAAGAGGAGGTGATAGTAAGACCGCAATGAGAGAGGTTCATAATGAAATAACGAATGTGTGAAATAAAACAGGTGGAGGCACATATTGAGAAAAGTGATAATATCACTAATAATAAGTCTATATAGTATAAATGGAAAATTCGATAGTATTGAGAGAATGTTTGCATGAAGGGTGTAAATTATGACGAATAATAATAATTGTAATAATAATCAAAGAAAGAAAAAAGCTGGGAGAGTTAAGGAGAAGAAGAACTCTTGGTGAGAAGAATAATGTTTAGTGCCAGTTTGACCACGGTAGGAACAGCATCTGGTCGTGTTCTTTTTGCATTCAAAGTTCCTGTTTAGTCGATCTTATTGCAACAGCTTCAGCTATGTGTAGGAGACGTAAGCGAACTGTCCGTGATAACGACTTCACAATTCGGTCGATGCGATGTCCAGTATCGATCAAGTGTGACAGAATCGGGCTTTAATGCGCTTAACTTCACCCTTGTTCAACCAAGCTTGTAAATGTTCTCGAACCTTGAACTGACTTGTCAATTTTCCTACCCCACACTCCACAAATCTATTATGACTAATCACCATCATCATTGTCTCGCATTTCACAATATTTTGTAATCGATTTCAACCCACAGCACTTTTGTCACACAAATACGACTATTTTTTTGTCACCCTGCGATAACTAATCTGTTATTGTACGTTGAAAAAAATGTATCCGCCGAATAACTGGTTATCATTATTGTAACGACAATAAATATTAAATTTTATAATTGTAAGAACCTGAAGAGGAGAAATTATTGAAAAGAATATTCTTCGTTCAGATTGACTTTTAATTCATGAAATAGGAATATTTCACACTGCTAAAGCTTACTATAAATCACCTATCACTAGTCATCCCATTTTATTTTATTTATTTGTATTATTCATACTGACACTGACACTACTGATGAACACAGCTCAATCCTTGAGAATTATATGTTTTTGGATGGAGGATTTCATCATCATCACATCAGTCACAGAACCACTGGAAAACCTGGGAGTACTGGACAGCTGGTTCGTCCTAGTTCGGGACTCTTCATCAGTACGCACCCACCGGGGTTCAAACCAAGGACCTTCTGGTTACAAGGCTAGCGAGCTCGTAGACCATTATGCCACTCCCTGGGACCCGATCCAATGGCCAGCCAATGAATTCTAAATTCTGTCAACTCATGACATAGCGCGACCATTTCGCAATGTCTTCTTCGATGAGTTACTGTCCCATCTCCTGTTGAAGACTCCCAAACTAGGACGAAACAGCTGTCCAGTACTCCCAGATTTTCCAATGGTTCTCTAACCGACGTCAGCTCATGATGAAATCCACCATGCAAATATGATTACGATTGTACAGCTCATGAGAATGAATCGTCGAAAAGAAAATTTTCTCCGCTGTTTACGCCTTTTTTCTTATAATTCTTTAATTATTATGGATGCATTATATAAATAACCAGAGAATCTGATGATGTAGAAGTTTTCGAGAAGAATACTCTTCGTTCACTAATTTCTGTGTCCAAAAGAAGCTAGTCCAGACATTGTCCTTACCCCGTTGGCCATCTAGGTTCGAATGATCCTCAATTTTTCCTGTAGAAATTTCCTTTATTTTAGTTGATATTCTATTTTCTATTATAGTTTTATCATTTTAATTAATGCATCTTTAATGAACTGTAATAATTCCATTGTGATCTTACTTAACAAATCGATAATATTTTCGAAAAAACGCCAATATTGTTAATGACTACTATTCTAGAATATTCTATGTATATAGACATATAAACATATATATATATATATAGTTGTAGAGCCAGCAGAGGAAATTATCGAAAGGATTTTCTTTACTCAATTTTTCTCCTAGATGTTTGAATGAATATTTTCGCTATATTGAAATCTTAGAAAATACATGAAAAGCACCACGCATTAGAAAACACCCCGCACACGACGAAACGTCTAAGTGTATAGAACAATAAACATATACACATTACAGGCGGACGGAACTGATGAGGATATCAAAGCGAGGATCGGGAAAGCAAGGCAACCTTTCATTACTCTCAAGTCTGTGTGGAGGTCAACAGCACTCAGCACGAGAAAATAGGATCCGGATTTTCAACTCCAATGTGAAGTCAGTGCTACTCACTATATGGATCAGAGACTTGGCGCGTCATGAAGAGAACTTCGAACAAAATACATACCTTCATCAACAGACTTCTTCGCTCAATATTACTTAAGATCAGATGGTCAGCCAAAAGATATCAGCAACATGGATCTCTGGCAATCAACGAACCAATCCAGCAGGAAACAAGTGTGCAACAAAAATGCAGGAAGAAATGAAGGTGGATTGATGGCCATACTTGGAGAAAACAAACCATCATCAAGTGAGTGACATCACACGCAAGGTCATCGCTCGAGTGGAACCCGAACGGGCAGCGGCGAATTAGTTGGTCGTCAGTGCGAGGGTGACATCAAGGAGGAGGTCATGCGAAGAAGAAATGAAAGCATGTGGGCCGACGTGGAGCCAGGTGAAAACGTTGGTAGAGAACCGAATGCAATGGAAACATGCTGATGAAGCCCTGTGTTCCTCTGGGAACTGAAGGAAACAATAAGAAGCATCGTTTCAACTGCAGTTAGCACACATGAGTGCGCGGGAGCCAGATAGGATCGGAAAATCAAGACAAAAGTTCACTACTCTGGAACCAGTTTCGAAATCCGATATAATTATCACAAGCCAAACGATCCCCATTTTCAAGGTTAATGCCATTAAGTCAATGGGTTCAGAGATTTAGTGAGTAACATCAAAAGGATTAAACAACAGCTTACTGCAGACTTGCACCAACAACAACTGAGTCCCCTTACTATTTACCTACCTTGTGTAATCATTTGATACATCTCTTTCAATTTACTTGTAATTGTATGAAAACCATCCAAAAATTCAGTTAGTCGTTTTGACTTCGCCTCCTCCATATATTTACGTTGTTCACCGAGGATACTGGTGATACGATTCAACTCACTGACACGTTGCAAGTAATTTTGTGCCTTACGACGATATTCTTCAATAGCTGTCATATTAGGCGTCATAGAGGCGATTTTCTCTTCCAAGTGTTTCATTTCATTTGAATCAACAGAAATTTCTGGAATATAAAAAGAGAGAGAGAAAGAGAGAATATGTAGATATCATGCAGTACAAAATCAATAAACAATGAAGAATTTAAGTGTTGCTTCGTAGGGATTTGGTTGATTGGTTACAGGATTTCATCATGAGCTGACATTGGTTAGAGAACCATTGGAAAACCTGGGAGTACTGGACAATTATTTCGTCGCAGTTTGGGACTCTTCATCAATACGCACCCACCGGGGCAGGTCGGGTGTGAGGACAAATACCTGCCGAAAACATTGGCTAGGGGTCGCGCAATGAGGAGGACATGAAAGCTTATGAGAAATCGTAGAGTCCGGTAGTAAAATCACCATAGAGAACGGCACAAAATGGAAATGGGCTGTTAGAGCCATAAGTTCCACTCAGAAATCAAGGGAATAATAAAACTTTAATAATAATAATAATAATAAAATAGTACTCTTACCTTTTAATTCTTCATCTGTGTATTTAGGAAGAGTCCTTTTTTTCATATCCAATGATTTCTTGTGAGCCTCTTGTTTGATTGTTGGCGCCTGCTGCTGCTGTTGTTGTTGTTGTTCCTGGTCATTATCATCACCACCTGTCATTTGAACATCGGTGCTAATTGTTGGCTGAGAAATATCCTCAGGAACAGAGGTTGATGCACCACCTTCAGGAACACTAGCTTCATCTTCGTCATCCTCATCATCATCATCATCAATAAAATGCAGTTGAAGACGTTTAATCTCATCCTGCCAATGAAGAGCATTTGTAGTCGCTTGGGATAATTCACCTTCGTATTGACTGACTAATCGACGTGATGCAGCCTCAGATTTTTGTATTGTGGCTAAGTCATTTTCTGTATCAGTTAAAAGAGATAGATTCTCTTCTTTCATTTTTTGTAATTCTTCAATCTGTTAACGAGCAGAGAGAGAGAGAAAAAAAGATCATTTCAATTTGGATTTCGTGATGTGAACTGACGACATACCACCAGTTAGTTAGTAGACCACTGCAAAACCAACTAGTCGGAACTGCACACCCATGACCCCAATCAGGGATCGAACTCGGGATCAACGGCGGGGGGGGGGCGTTAACTGATTTAGCCAACTCGCGTTCGACTCAGTCTCAATGACCTGTCACTTTGTGGTAATACAGCTAACGCCGTCAACTAATGTCTACGTCTGTCTGTCTGTTTTCGACATAGAACTTTGCACATATGTGCGCCAGTTAAAGGCGCCACACTCCCTCCATGTACCACACAAAGCAAGAGAAGAAGAAAGTAGGAGAAATGCACATTAGAGACAGTAAACAGAGGTGTGAAACAAGGGAATAGTAATAACGAAGAACAAAACCGTTCCATTGGAAATCATATGTCACAAGGAGTGGATGCATCTACACCAGCCATTGAGAACGATGAGTTTGAGCCATGTCACCAATTGTTTCCAACCATTGGTTTTTATCGTCCCGAGGACTCCAACCAGCCAGTCAGGAAGTCTACACCTTCCTAAGTGGCTTAAACTAACTGTTGTAGATTTCATTGACTGGTGTCATGTTTTGGTTTGACCACCACTTGCTCTTTCCCAGCCTGATCCATCCTATGTCAGCTAACATTGCCTGATGTCGAGGGAGTCGATGACTAGACATACGTAACACATGTCCTAACTATCTCAGTCGATGTAATTTCACAGACTCGTCTATTGATTTCTCCACCTTACCTAGCACTCGACGCCTAACCTCAGTATTGCTCACCTTATTATGCCACTTCACACGGGAGATACAACGCAGGCACCTATGATCAAAGACAGCTAATCTTTTCATTTCTTCCACTTTCAGTGATCAGGTCTCATAGCTAGCCATAAAGGAGGACGGAGCGGACTGTTGAGCAGTACACCCACCCTTCGGTCGATAGTCGGATATCACGTCTACGCCAGAGACGGCGTAAACTGGTATATGCGAAACGAGCCTTCTGTATCCGTGCTGAGAATGTCTACGATGGAGCAAACGCTTCACTTTGACATGGAGATGAAACTCACGGATACAAAAAGGCTACTGTGGCATACTGTATACTCCAATTTACGTAATCTCTGGCTTAGACGTGATATCCGGTTGGCTATCGATCAAAGGATGTGTATACTGATCACCAGTTCGCTACGTCCTCCTCCTCCTTCTCCTTTATGCCTGTAAGGCAGACAATGGTAATTCAAATTGGAAGACATGAAAAGCCAGGCTAACTAGCTGTCTTTGATCATAGGTGTCTGTGTTCTATCTGCTGCATTAATTGGTATAATACGGTGAGTTATATTGACGTGAGGGATCAGTCGAATGCTACATAGATAGGTGGGATGGAAAATCAATCAACGACATTGTGAAGTTACATAGACTGAGAGAGATGGTTAGGACATGTGTTACGCATGCATGCAACGGGAAATGTTAGCTGACACTGCTGACGGTTAGGGTTGTTGGAAAAGAGCAAATGATTGGTGGTCAAACCAATATATGGCTTCATTAGTCAATAAAATCTATAACAGCTGATTTAAGCCAACCAGCCCCGTAAGAAGGTGTAGACTTCCTGACTAGTTGGAGTCCTCGATATCAATAAGAACCAATAGCTGGAGACAATTGGTGAAATAGCTCAAAATCGTTCTCTGTGATCTCTCATATCCATTAAACCCCATTATTGTTATTCCATGCTACAATTCTTTTCCTCTCACATTTCTGCCTATTATAGTTCTTTCGAATCTCGTTTGTCTTTCTTTGTGTTCTGCATAAAGTGTAGCAACTTGAAGCAGTGCAGTTCTGTACAGCCAACCAACCAACCCCAAAATAGGCAGTCTACACCAAAGTCAGTGTGATTCAAACCAACGGTTAAAGAAAAGAAAACATAAATCCCCTAGTCACTAGGATAGTTAATAGCATGTTTCTATGATGTTCAAGCATTCGGATTAATCAATTTAAATGTCACTTAGAAATAAATGATGGGGAAGATTCGTAGTTGTTCCAGAGGATGATGCATTCAGTGTTGTTTTTTCCTCAGTTGAAGGATTTAATTCCGAAGCTTTTATTGTTTTTCCAGACGTAGTCACATTTTCAGAGATAACTTTATTGTGAAATGATAGCCGTCCGAAAAGGATAAACGAAAACAAGGGATATGGGAACAGTCGACAATGGGTCAGAGTGTGCTGGAGACAGTCAAGTAGGAAATCTTGGACCTTGATTTCCTACTTGTTGATACTCACCACCAGTCAGTCAGTAAGTCGTATTATCCACAATCTTAAAGGAACTCATATACCCCTCCCTCGAGATTCGAGTCCGGATCATCATCAGCCTGTGCAGTAAGGAGAGACGTTACCACCAAAGAGCTACTTGGGCTCACACGACTAACCCCTCCTGTAGGAAACTGTAATGAATACATTCATTGGAAACCAGGTAATGTATAATGTCATGTATCTACTCTTTGGTGTTAATGCAAATTGCCCCGACCGATAGCTGCTACCTTGACGTGGTGGTTGGGCTTGCACATCGGGATGACCCAACAAGCTACACTGGCTGGAACCAATGTTCTTGCAGGTCCTACCATGGCAGGAAGGTTGTTAGGATAGCGATTAGACTAAAAGCAGTTAGCGGCATAGTGAAAGAATCTTTCTTACACTGCTGGGGAACAGGAGTGTAACAGCAGTCAGGTGTTTCCCTCAGATGACCAGCATGCCGACTATGTTGTCTCTCCACTCTGGAGAGAGGGGGTTAGAAAAGGTCGACCACAAAAATTGTACATCCTGACTTACACACTACGGTGGTCCGTAACCGGTGGTAAATTTACCAATACGGAACCAATCCCAGAAACCAGTTCATACAGGCCGTGTGTGACCGACCTCAAGCAGTCGTCCCCTGGGCTCTGCGGTCACCCAACACTGTTTCTGTTTCAGGTACTGAAAGAATAAATCAACTTCCACGGTGTGGGCAGCGGGTAAGTAACAACCACCTACACATTTCCAAAAGCACACGAAGCCTTCCTGAGCATCACTTTCCTCTACCCACATCACAGAATGCAAATTGAATTCTATTCACAGCACAAGTTTACAATGTGACCACATCATGCTCGACTGCTCGCCATTAATCATGGTACACATTCTTAATTGTTGTTATCCGATGGTTGGACGCCATCGGCAGAGAGCATCCTCCTCATTGCCTGACCTAGGGTTTTGTGATTGTTGGCATCTAGCATGGTAGCCATATTGCATTGCACACCAGACTGATAACAGTTCAGTCTGTACCAACAAACCAAGGGGAACAACTATAGACGACGCATGAAATCAGTTACCTAACAAGTGTACAATGCTGAAAGATCGCCTAGGTCCATTATGGGTAAAATTTTTATTTTGATAAAATCACACAATACTATGCAGTAATATTTACTGATGATTGCTGCTCATAATCCTATCAAGGCATTACTCAAATAACTTTCTTGCTTCATTTATATACATGAGTAAAATTCATTAGGCATATGAATAAAATCAATATCAGATGATAAAGTACATTCAGAAATAATATTAGTGTTATCAACAAAATACAATCAGATGGGAAATAAGATGCTTTTATAGTAAAATAAATAAATAAATAAATAACTTGTTAAAATGTTATAATGTGAATTGAATTGAAATACATTTTAACATTATTTATTATCCTCCTCTGATTTGACTGATGGTAATAATATCTTCCATACATATCTCTGGTATTTGCGTTGAGTCACTTCTATTGCATGTGATCGGTGTAGACTCGACAAACCAGGCAGGATTCAGTAATCAACCACCTCTCTCTCTCTCCACCTACCTATATTACTCTTTAGAATTTTGACTCCGTCCCACTCACCCTACTGTATGGTTGCGTGTTAATGCATACAGTGCAATTGCTGAGTTTGTTTCTCTAAATATTTCATCTTCGCCGTGGTCAATTATTCTGCACTTAACTAAATTCTTATATTCTGATTTCATTTATATGCCTAATCAATTTTTACTTATTTATATCAACGAAGAAAGAAGTGTGTGTGTGGGAGGGGTATTGTCTGGATATGATTATGAGCCGGAAAAAATTGTGTTCAAAACGTGGTTACCATCAGTAAACATTAGTGCATAACACCATTGTGTGATTTTATTATTATTATTGTATCCTTTAATTCCTAGAGGAAAATAGGGCTTCAGCCGTGCGTCTCCATTGCACGTTCGGTTCTCTGCTAGAGTCTTCACCTGGCTCCATGTCTGCCCACACGTTTTCATCTCCTCCTCTTCACATGACCTCCTTCTCCAAGTCACCCTTGCACTGACGACCAACTCGCCGCTTCCCTTTCGGGTTCCACTTGAGTAGTGGCTTTTCTAGTGATGTTACTTCATGGTTTCCTCAGAGTATGGCCAATCCATCTTCATTTCTTCCGGCCTATTTGTTTCACAATCGGTTCCTGCTGGGTTGGTTCGCTCATTGCCAGAGATCTCTGTTACTGATCTTTTCTGGCCAGCCATCCGATCTTGAGTATTGAGCGAAGACAACTGTTAATGAAAGTTTGTAGTTTGTTTGATGTGCTCTTTATGACGCACAGTGCAAGTCTCTGATCCGTATAGTAGCACTGACTGACTTCACATTGGATTTGAAAATCCGGATCTTATTTTTGATGCTGAGTAGTGCTGTTGACCTCCACACAGACTTGAGAGTAGTGAAAGCTTGTCTTGCTTTTCCGATTCTTGCTTTGATATCCTCGTCAGTTCCGCCGGCCTGTAGTTGAAACGATGCTTCCCAGGTAGGTAAAAGAGGTTGTTTCTTTCAGGTTCCTCCCATTTATGCTGACTGTTGTCAGTTGTTGTTGATGCTGTTGGTGATGGTGCCCAGGAATTTTCATCACCTCTGTTTTATCTATGTTCACCTGAAGTTCTATCTTTGATGCTTCTTCTGCTAACTTGTTGCTTTTCACTTGGGTGATTTTATCAAAATAAAATTTTATCTATAATGGAATTATACTCTACCACCACAGTGGCCAAGTTTTATACTTATTTTCAAGTATTGGTTTTTTTCGTAAGTAGTTTAGTTTGATTGGCTGAAGGATTTCATCATGAGCTGACATCAGTTAAAGAACCATTGGAAATCCAGGGAGTACTGGACAACCAGATGTTTAGTCCTAGTTCGGGACTCTTCATCAGTACGCACCCATCCATCCTCCAACCAATCAAACTAAATCTCTACAAAAGACCAATACTTGAAAATCGACCTGATGCTAACTACCGACTGGTCTTATTCAAAAAGTGACCTGGGATTCTAGTGGGAAGCCGTGACCAGTAGGGGGCAGGAGGTTGAAGGTGAGGCAGCAACTCAACGAAGAAGACATTGTTAAGTGATCATGCGCTATATCATGAATTGGCAGAGGTTACAATTCATGGCCTCTACCTCAACTTTATACACTTTGAGAAAGCTTTCGACAGGCAGCGTTGCCCGCGAAGTAATTTGGAAACTACTCGAGTACTACTACGGTGTACCCCAAATATTCATCAACCTTATTCAACAGCTGTACGACAACGGCACATGTCAAGTGATCCACAACGGAAAACTCAGCGAAGCGTTTGGAGTAAACACAGGAGTCAGACAAGGGTGCTTATTATCACCAATGATATTCCTAATTGTGGTGGACTGGATTATGCGTCAGACAGTGGGAAACGAGAAGACAGCGATATCCTGGACCGATGTGAAGTACCTAGAAGACCTGGATTTCGCAGATGATTTGTGTTTGATGTCACACAAAATCGAAGACTTACAAGCGAAAACCGACAAACTGGTGGAAGAAGCAGCAGCAAAGACAGGACTCCAGGTGAACATAGACAAGACGGAGTTTATGAAAATAAACAACCAACAACAACGACAGCAGCAGCAACATCCAGAGCTAATCACCATCAACGGGAGGGATTTGAAAGAGGTTACTTCATTCACTTATCTGGGGGGCATTGTCTCAACTACAGAAGCAACGGACGAGGATGTCAAATCGAGAATCGGGAAGGCGAGAAACACATTCATCAACCTGAAACCAATCTGGAAATCTTCGTCACTCAGCATCAACAACAAAATTCGGATTTTCAATACAAACATCAAGTCAGTTCTTCTATACGTACGGATCAGAAACTTGGCGGGTCACAAAGAATATTTCCAACAGCCTGTTGCAGACCTTTATCAACAACTGTCTTCGCTTTATACTGAAGATCAGATCGCCGGAAAGAACAATAACCAACAAGAAACTATGGGAAGAAACAAAACAAGAACCAATCGCTCAACAAATATGCAGGAGAAAGTGGAGATGGATTGGACACTAATTCGCTGAGGAGGCCACTGGGTGACATCGCGCGTCAGGCCATTGCTCGAGTGGAACCCGAAAGGGAAGCGGCGAGTGGGACGTCCAAGGGTGACATGGAGGAGATCGTGTGAAGAGTTGAAGTTGAAACAGTGTATGGAATAACATGGATGCAGGTGAAAAGTACAGCAGAAGACAGAAGCAGCAAGTGGAGACGTGCAGTTGAAGCCGTATGTTCCACTAGGAACCCAAGGGAACAATAATAATAATAATACAATTCATGGCCTGGCCTTTGGATCGGATCCCAGTGAGTGGCTTAATGGTCTACGAGCTGGCTCGTTAGCCTTTATTTAGAATCTCCTGGATTCGACTCTAGCCGGTGGTGGGTTCCAACTGATGAAGAGTCCCGAACTAGGCTGACGAAACAGTCGCTGTCCAGTACTCCCAGATTTTATACTGATATCAAAGATCGCACAGACTTGACATCATGAAGTGTCAGCTGAAATGAATGTCTGAGAATCAATCAAATGCAATAATAAAATGTAAATTTACTGTCAAAGTAACGAACAATGTAACTTTATCAATCAGCAAAAAATAAAAAGCAAAAAACGAAATAACTCACCTCAGCTTGAACTTTTTGAGTTTCATCGAAACAGGCCATAGCATCTTTCTCCAGTATTTTAAGTCTTGCCTGAATATCAGCTAATTTTTGTGTCAACACTTCTAATTCATTGTTCATATTTTTTAATTTATCCATAGATTTTTGTTTATTACGTAATGTAGTCTTTAAATTAACTTCTATTTTTGTCAATTCATCATTGGCCTGTTGAAAATATTTTTTGGTTTAAGAAAAAGCAAGGATAATGATAGTAATAATAATAATAATAATGATTAATATTATTAAACAGAATGGGATTTTTAGCGTTTTTATACACATTATAAATTTGGATAGTGTTATTAGAAGACGGAGATTATCTGAAAACTAATATGGGATGTATTTGCGCTACACATTTCGAATAATCTGATACCTCACACATTTACTTATCAAGTCGATATATATATGAAAAAATTAAGGGCAATTAAAAATTAAACAAAGTAACAAAAAAAAAAAGAATCAAGCATGATTAACACAACGTTTTAGTAATCCAATCAAATAAGGATTGATATCACAGTTAGAGAACCATAGAAAACCAGGCAGGAGTACTGGACAGCTGCTGTTTCCACAGCCTAGTTTGGGAATCATCGGCAGTACGCATCCACTGGGATTCGAATCCAGGACCTTCCGGTTACAAGGCAAGCTCGAATGGCATTCAGTCACTGGGACCCAATTCAATAAGCGGAAGGTCCTGGGTTCGAATCCCAGTGGGTGCGTGCGTAGTGTCGATGATTCCCAAACTAGGATGAAACAGCAGCTGTTCAGTACTACCTGATTTTCTATGGTTCTCGAACTGATATCACCAATCCGTGATCAACTCGTAAAAACAAAACTAATCCTTACAAACCAAACTATACAAATAAGGATTACCAAGGTAGGTTAAGAGTAATAATAAACTGTTTTTGAATACACACGGGTGGGGGCGGGGGGCCTTAAGTTTATGAATAGCTCTAGCCTCAGCGTATTTCAATAAGCGCCCTTGACGGTTTTTGTAGATGACCTTAAAGGCTGACTTAACATCAATCGTATGGATCATCGCGATTAGATGTTTAGCTATAGACGAAGTTGATAGTCTGACACCTGCATCTATTGGTTTTCCACAATTCATTTGTTTATCTAACCATTTTGGGATATGCTCTCCCACCCCCACATGCAAAGCGCGATTACTCCTCCCTATGTAAGTGTGACCACACACACACACACACGAAAAACTGGTAAGTAGTGTGTGATGTAACGTAATCACTTGTGGACTTTTGAGGTTTGCAGTGGAGCATATTTCTTAGCTTTTTCGACAATTACAAACTGGGCTGCATATTAGCTTCTACGGATGATCGAATTCAACACATTTGTCTCAAAATCCTACTGTTTATTTCCCCGTTATATGGTAATTTGATGAAAGCATTTGTCTTAGGGGCGGTATAACTATCTAACTCCTTTTATAAATTTATGAAATATACATGAAATTGGAAGAAAAAATCATAATAAAATCATAAAAACTGAAGGATGGTGGAAACATATCGGAGTTTAAGTAGAAAGTATCACAGATAATGTAATAATAATCTTTGCTCATATTTTGCAGTTCAGTTACTCGTTTAAAAAGTTTATAAGTCCCAATCTGAAATTTGTCTCTCTTTCTACAGACTGAACCCTTGCTAGACAGCTCAACAAACGTATTAGTAATCAGTATGTTCTCTCCCCCCTCATGGTTTGGAAAAAGCCCAGTAAAATCTATAAGAACTTCTATTTTGACTCATGTGTGATTGATGATAGCAGTCGGACAAGTAAGACAGAAGAAGAAGTGGCTTTCACAGTTATCTATCGCATAAAAAATTGAACCTTTAGAATGGAATTCGAACCTGTCTTTTACACACATAGTCGAAGCTAGGGGAATTCATTCAAAAGAACAATCCTATTGTCTTTGCATACAACAAAAAGAAGTTTATTCCACCTTTGTCTCTGTGCTTTGGTCTAGTTCAACTGTAATTAAAACCCTCCCACCAGCCTTTCTTATCTTCCATTTCCTTCCTTCCTACTTTTATGATATTTATTTAAACTCTGATTATCTATCTGTCCACTTCACCTTTTAAGATTTAACCTAATTTATTTATTTATTGAATTGTCTACATATAATAACTTTGTTATTCTTATCGCCAACTGAAAAAAGCCTATTATAATTGTTTTTGTTATCATTATAATCATCGTTATTAAATGACGTTCAAAACATTTAACACATTATTATTATTATTATCATTATTATTATTATCAAACTCACCGTCATTCGCTAAATTTTTTATATATAAGTCTACGTAAATTAGAGTAAAGACTGAAGAAGATCTATTTGAAAACAACAGCAATATTGTTCGCTTATATGTCGTGTTCTAATATGGCATAGTAGAATTGTTAATAACTAGCAGCTGTATGAGCACAAATTCTTATGAAGTTTCTTCTGGTTTTACCCGGAGCAATATAAGGAGAAAGTTGCGAATCACATAGGGGATGTTCAGTATCAGAAAAGATAACTTTAGCCAAATGCTTGCAAGAATTGAAGAAGTGCCTATTGACAGTGATGTCAGTTAGTTGAGTCAAAGGCGCACACCACTAACCCTGCCTACTTACAGACTTCAGTGTTCTACTTAATATGACATAGTCTTTTTTGAGAAACCCAGAGAAGAATAACGGAGAACAATAAAGAAGAATTGGCAGGATACATGAATTAACAAATTGTAAGAGAAGAGGTTGAATTATGTCAGCAGAAAGTCTCAACTTCTCCATCGAATAGGTCAAACGAAAAATCTCCTTAGAAATCAACAAGATACGAGAAGACCAACAGAGATTCGAAAAGAGAAACTGAAGCCACTATGGGAAATATTCGATTTACTCCCTATCACAGTGCCGCTAATATTACAGGAATCATGGGAGTGAATCAGTCGGGCCACGCAAGTCTTTTCCACATCTGAAACTACAATTAACAATATAACATTTAGGCGAGACCACTTGTTAACCGTAGATAAAAATCTATTCATATAAGACATATCCATTGCAGAAACTACTGGGACAGAAACGGTTAAATAATCTGCATATTTAATGAAATAAGCTTTGAAAGAATGCGGAAGGTCATGTAAAAAGAAGGACAAAAAGGGATGGGGAGAGCATAACGCCTTCACGCATACCAGTTTCCGTAAGCAGAGAAATGGAGCGCTTTCCATTCAAAACAGTATGTTGTTTTCTACTCTATAAATAAGAAGCAAACCACCATGTGACCCAGGATTCAGTGCTTGCTGAAATCAGCTTGTTTAAAAAGAGGTTTTCGGTGAATCAAATTAAGGCATAAAATAATCTTCCGCAATCAATATCACTATCATATCATAAACTGGTAAAATAATTGCAATAAAAAATATACTTTATGAAACATAACTAATGAAAACAGAGTATATGCTTAATGAAGTCATTATCAGTAGATATATTGTGGCTGGGGCTTATTGGAGGCTCAGGACCAATCTACTTCGAGCCACCCTCTATAAACGACCTGGTACGGTCGACGGTGGGTAAACTTCCGTTTTCCTCTCAAAAATATTCTCCACCAACGTGTTGTTCATAGCCTCTGATAGCCAGGTAGTTCATATTCACTGGCTTCAAACGATGCGGGTGTTCCTAACAAGAGTAAATGTGAAAGAGCAAATGCGAACACATCTGGCGCTTGCAACCTGACTGGTGGACATATTGGTCTACCTAGAAGAGCTGGAAAACCCTGATCCAAAACATATAGTGGTTGAACACCATGCACTCCAGAATCCGAACGGATCGAATGTCACATGAATCTGTTTTGCTCACCGGAAACCATGGGAACGCAACTCCATTGCCTTGTAGATGAAACTTCAAGTCAAAGGCTAGGGGAAGGTGACCCCTAAAGACTACCAATCTATCTCGGTCTGGGCGTCCAAGCAGTATTTCAGCACTCTCACAAACTATGAGATCCCTGCTTCGCAAATCTTTCAGTATCCATAATGTACCAATAAGTTTGTGTTTTAATAATAATAATAATTCTGAGTCAGGTCATAGGGTTCGAATCCCACATTCCATATACTTCATAGCCTGGGCAAATAACTGGGTACTATCACCATCCCTCACGTACATATACATACACACACTGATTTTGTATGTCCCAGATTGTTTCTAGTACTCATTCATTCAACCTCTTGCGCTGTCAGTCAGTTGGTAAGAAACCACACCTACACTGTTAGGTCTGATGATACTTCCTCAATGCTTAAACCTAGGGGGTCTCAACCCATGAACCACAGCTCCACAGTTTCAGGCGACTGAGTTACACAAATAACAACAAACAGGATGAGATTTTAATACTAAAATTCGTTACATCAATAAGAGATAGCACACGTGATGGAACATTCACGTTTTTCAGCTAATAAATCCACACATTTTCACTTATCCGTTAACAACCCTCTGATTAGTCCTAGTTTAGAACTCCCCAGTAGTACACACATCCATCACTTCTAACCCCGATGGGATTCGAACTCAGAACCTTCAGGCTGCGATGTGGACACCCAGACGGAATCCAATGGCCCATGAATTCTAACTTCTACCAGTTCACGATATATATATATATATATATATATATATAGTATCACTTCCAGCCAAAGTCATTGGTGGGTATTTTGTCCTCACATACTCCACTGTGGTTACAACTTCTCCTCGTTTATAGAACTTCAAGAATATCATCCCATAGCAAATGACTGTATAATTCTTGTTCGAATTTGAAATCTTTCAATCTGATTTATTCATATTTTCCCTAGTCTGTTAGCTTTGTTTAGCTTTTTTGTTCTTCGTCATGACCAATATCTCTCTAACCTAATCCCCACCCCAACTACTTCAATCTCAAATATTGCTCAAGTAAGAAAAGCTAGTGAGTGATACAAGAAGATATACGAAGCACATAAAAATGTGTTACACAGACGAATAAACTCCATCCCGGTGGGTGCGTACTGCTGAAGACTCCCAAACTAGGACGAAACAGCTGTCCAGTACTCCCAGGTTTTCCAATGGTTCTCTAAATAATGTCAGCTCATGATGAAAATCCTATAACCAATCAAATCCCTACAAACCAACGCTTGAAACTTCATTTACTTCCTTCATTCAATTAGGAAGCACCTTTTTCCAACTACAGGTGACTCCACTGGTGGGGATGTGTCAAAGCAGGCCAGAATCGGAAAGGCAAGTCATACCTTCATCAATCTGAAATCAGTTTGGAAATCTCTCCTCCATTCATCATGAAGGAACGCGATTCGAATTTTCAGCACCAATGTTAAAATCAGTCATTAACGTCAGGTAAAATTATAATCAAATTTCAATAGATTACACGCAATGATAAGCCTTTTGGTCACCTTCCCCCCCAAGTTGACTTCAAGTTAAATGACCAGACATCGTCGAACTATCTGCATGTCAACCTCAGACCGAGCACTTCGATCCAATCAATCGACGAGATCTAAATTGCATTAAATAATTAATAAAACCCGTTACCCAAGAGGTAGTGGTTCTCGTAACCCAATTGGTCTAGTGGATAACGGCTTTGGCGTTTGAAACAACGGGGGCGCACTGGGTTTGAGCCTCGGTGGGAACACCATCCACTACTCACTGAGGAATGCATGTACATCCACTGGCTGATGAGTCCCAAATAGGACGAAATGTACGTTATCCTGGCGGATTCTACTGGTAGTCACCATCCATCCACCAGTTGACTTCTATTGAAATATAATGATAACTTATTAAATCAGTCAGTTCTGCTACATGGTTCAAAAGTTTGTCGCATCACAAAAGGCGATTCTAACAGTCAGATGCAGACCTTTAATCACCAGAGGCATCTTCGCTCTGTACTAAAGATCAGACGGACAACCGGAAAGGATAAGCAACAAGGAACTCTGGGAATCAACCAATCAAGAAGATATTGCCTAACAAATATACCGAAGATGAAAATGAAGACGGATGGATCTAAAAAAAAACGCTGAGGACACCGGTGAGTGACATATCACACCAGGCAGGCCCTGAAGTGGAACTCGATCTGGAAGCGACAAGTTAGGCGTCTGTCGGTTTTCGACATAGAACTTTGCACATATGTGCGCCAGTTCAAGTCGCCACACTCCCCCATGTACCACACAAAGCAAGAGAAGAAGAAAGTAGGAGAAATGCATAATATAGACAGTAAACAGAGGTGTGAGACAAAGGTATAGTAATAACGAAGAACAAAACAGTTTCATTGGAAATCATGAGCCACAAGGAGTGGATGCATCTGCGCTAGCCATCACTGAGAGCGATTTTGAGCCATGTCACCAATTGTTTCCAACCATTGGTTTTTACCATCCCGAGGACCCCAACCAGGAAGTCTACACCTTCCTATGTGGCGGGCTTAAACTAACTGTTGTGGATTTCATTGACTGGTGTCATGTTTTGGTTTGACCACCACTTGCTCTTTTCCAGCCTGATCCATCCTATGTCAGCTAACATTGCCTGATGTCGAGGGAGGCGATGACTAGGCAGGCATACGTAACACATGTCCTAACCATCTCAGTCGATGTAACTTCACAGGCTCGTCTATTGATTTCTCCACCTTACCTTGTACTCGACGCCTAACCTCAATATTGCTCACCTTATTATACCACTTCACACGGGAGATACAACGCAGGCACTTATGATTAAAGACAGCTAATCTTTTCATGTCTTCCACTTTCAGTGACCAGGTCTCACAGCTAGCCATAAAGGAGGACGGAGCGGACTGTTGAGCAGTACACACGCCCTTTGGTCGATAGTCGGATAGGTGTGGCTTCGATAGTGATACACAGAGGAGATTATTATAGGAGGAAGAGATGAGATCTTACGGGCAGTTATGAAGCCAGTCAAAGAGGATGTTCTATATGTTTCATTCGGAACCCATCCATCTGCTTATATACTTGGTTATATTTAGTCATAGTACGCTTTTAATCAAACATACTTGACGACTTAAAAAAAAAACACAGCCTAAAATAAAATGTAGCGAAATGACTCTACTGACCTGTTTTATTTTCTTATCCACAGCATCCATACGATTTTTCACCGCAGCAAGACGATCAGCGCCATAATTCAACAGTTCACTTTTTAAACGTTCCAACTCTTCACGTTGACTAGTAACTTTTGCGGATTTTTGTTGTGAAGTTTTATCAAGTTTTTCTATTTCTTTTTCAATTTTTTTACGTTCAGCATCCGATGGAGCCATTGACCTGGCACGTTCTTCTGCTTGTGAAATTTCATCACATAACACTTTCAAATGGGCTTGTGTTCGTGAGTATTCAGTCTATAAACAAAAAAGAAATAAATAAAATTGAGATGAGAAACATCAGTTAGAGGACAGTTGGAAAACCGCTATGAAGTACTGGACAGTCGGCTGTTTCGTCTACCACAGGCAGGTCCGAACCCAGGACATTCTGGTTACAAGGCTAGAGAGCTCGTAGATGATTATGCCACTGGTACCCAATCCAATGGTCAGCCCATGAATTCTAACTTCTACCAATTCTCTAAACAAGCACACAAAATCTCTACAAAACCAATACTTGAGAAGAGAAATTGTATATACACATGCTGGACAGCTGCTGCTCTAGAGACTGCAGTAGTATGACAGTATCTACAATGGAAAAAAAGTAATTCGAGAACTAGAGAGCATGTGGTGTATTGAGATGTTCACCAGGTGATGGGTTCGAGTGCCACACACCATTCCAATTACCAAAGTTTTGGCAGCCAAGAACTGTCTCTGACACATACACACAATAGGTGTGGCGGCTCATCGCCAACTACATGCGTTTATAGACTAATATATTCCCATTAATGCAGTTCTCGAGGTAGTCAGGAATGAACTGAACATTGATTCTGAAATAATAATAGGAGGTGTCCAGTTATGTCTAACCTCCATTGTATTCAAATTTCAAAACAAAATATACAGACAAACAAATAAATGGGATGGTGGTAATGGGACCACCAAAATTCCCAATATTAGCAGACATATTTATAAGTAGTTGAGAACATATCCAGTTGTACATGTTCCTCGTACTGTGCTTCTTTTATCATTCCTATCATGCTTTCGGCATATTATTTCATATAAGGATCTTTTGTTTTTATTCTTCGCAACCTCCTAATCCTTCAATCCGCTAGTGAATGAATATCAACTTTGATAAAGACATCGCACACACTATTATTATTATCATTCGTTTGGGTTCCAAGTAGAACATTGAGTTTCAGCAAGCCACTCTTCTGTTCTCTGCAGTGTTTCTCATCTGTCTCCCCTCCCCCCCCCCCCCGACTTCCTACTAGGTTTCATTTCCTGTTCACGAGGTCTTCCCAGTGTCGCTGCCGACACCCAACTAATCGTTTACTATTCGGACTTCACTCCAAGGTCTACCGGATGGTGTGTGATGTGTCACTCTCAACAGTCTCTTCAGCGTTCAGCATATGTCCACAGTTCACCTCCATTTTCTTCGGCATTATATTTGTTGAGCGATAGATTTTTAGTTGGTCCATTGTCACAAACACACACACACAATATACTACTTAGAAAATCTTGTCAGCAAGCACACGCCCCACGCACTAATCATAGTCATAAGTTTTTTGATCATGATTATACACCACCAGCGTTTTTGTGTGTTTCTTATTCCATTCATACAAGAATAAAAGTTCATATATTTCTGTATCTAGAACTAGTTTGTTTGGAGTTACGGATTTGGGGCATACAGCATTAGTGTAACTACGTTTTCAGCTATGCACAGTGGCAGAATGCTCTCGCCAACCACGCCACACGTGGTTCGGAGTTCGATCCCCGGCCACTACTGGACGCACTCCTTCAGCTCGATAAGCCAGTTATAAGACTGGTAAAGAGGGAAGGTTGGTGCTGAGACTAGCAACCCCATCCCATGAAAATAAGCACCATTGCTACAGAAACTTCAAGCCTCTAGCTTGAAGTCCTATGTTCCACTGGGAACGTAACCAGTTATTCATCTGGAGACCCAATGATCCTGAGTTGAATCTGTGACGAGATTTTTAGTTGAAAGAACACTACTGAATGGAGAAATGTATCTTTAAGTCATGGGTCGTAATCGCCTCCAATTGAAGGGTTCTGGAGTTGCTTGTAATCAATCCGAGGATAAGAGTGTGGGCATTTAGCTTTCAAAACTGATCCAATTGATGAATTCCGAATAGAATTTAGCTGTTAGCTGTCATCAACTGAAAATACATGTCAGCATTAAGACATCGTCAAAGTGTCCCTATTTTGTGTGCCAACTTGGTCACAGAAGAAGCTGGAAGTTTCAGGTCTAAAAATAAAATCTCTATCGATGAGAATTTACCAGCATTATTTCTGGCTCAGCGAGGTAAAGGAGTGCGTCCAGTGGCCGGGGATCGAACCCAGGACCAAGGGCATGGTCGGTGAGCGTCCTAACCGCTATACCACCGACGCACATTACCAATTGTTACAAGTTGGAATTTATGCGGTGACTATTGACTCGGGTCATATTGGCTGAATAGTAGTCTGCGAGCTACCCTGGTAACTGGAAGGTCCCGAGTTCGAACTCCGATGAGTCGGGGGGTCGTGATCGTCTCCAATTGAGGGGTTCTGGAGTTGCTTGTAATCAATCCGAGGATAAGAGTATGGGCACTACCTTTCAAAACTGATCCAGTTGATGAATTTCGAGTAGAATTTAGCTGTTAGCTGTCATCAACTGAAAAACATGTCAGCATTAAGACATCGTCAAAGTGTACCGACTTGTCAACAAAAAAGCTGAAGTTTCAGATCAAATAATAAAATCCCTATCGATGAGAATTTCGAGTATAATAATAATTTCAACAAATAAAGATTTTTTGAAAAAAAGAGGTACAATACGACGGACATGTACAACTGGATATTTCAATACAAAATTACTACCGTCTCCTGCTGTAACAGGTATTCAAACCATGCGGTAACGGTCAATTTAACTCTGGGAGAAATTCATGCTGTATCTCATTATACTTGAATGAGAGCTGAGTGTCTGTTAGCCGACACATAACAGCTGACAATAAATTAGCCAAGATTGGAATATTCATCTATCCAGAGTTATTTACAATCGGTAATAGTTCGTAGGGGATTTGGACTTGTTTCAAGTTCGCCCACGGATGAATATCAGTCAGTGAGCTCAAACCAGTCGGGAGGGAGGACAAATTACTCGACACAGATGACACTGACTGGCACCAGTCACGCTACAATTACCAACTGGTACAAGTTGGAATTTATGCGGTGACTATTGAGTCGGATCTTATATTGGCTGAATAGTAGTCTGCGAGCTACCCTGATAACCGGAAGGAACCGAGTTCGAACCCCGATGAGTCCCAAACTAGAATAAAACAGTTGGCTCTTCAGTACTGCCCAAATTGCACTTAATCAGTTGGCGATCAGTGTCTGTAAGTATGGTATATGCTTTGCGCCGTCTAAGTGCAAAGTACTGTTACAAGATTGGCAGGAGCCTGTACCTGCACTCACTCTTGCGGGTCAACCGCTTGAAGTTGTTGATAAATTTGTGTATCTGGGTAGTTGTGTGAGTGCTGGCGGAGGGGTGACGGATGAGATTTCCAACCGTATAATGAAGGCTAGGGTGGCACAGTGGTCAGGACTCTCACCGCCCAAGCACATGGTCCGGGGTTCGATCCCCTGCCGACGCACACCCGATATCTATGGTCGGCCTGCAAAATTTGGGCTACCGATATCCATGCTGAAAATTCCATACTTGTACTGAAAATACGATGTGGCATCAAGCTGTAATCAAAAATAAAAATTAAAAAATACATCAACTTGAGCCACCTCTGGCGCCGTCGCCTGGCTGTCAAAGGTCGGGTATACAGTGCTTCAGTGCGGGCTGTCTTGCTCTACGCCTATGAAACCTGACCTCTCCGAGCTGAGGATGTGCGGCGACTCTGTGTGTTCGATCATCGCTGTCTCCGCAGGATTGCTTGCGTTCGATGGCATCATCGCGTGAGTAATTCTGAGGTTCGGCGGTGTGTGTTTGAACATAGTGGAGATCATCATTCATTGAGTGTCGTCATCTGGAAACACCGGCTCCGGTGGCTTGGACATGTGCTGCGAATGTCATCCCAGAGGCTTCCGTACAGGTCTCTGTTCGCTAGCCAGCCCTGGGACGGGATGGAAAAGGCGGAAGGGTCGTCAGTCCATGACGTGGCGTCGTGGGATGAAGGATTTTTGTGCTAGATTTGCATAGGTTGGTGCGTCACGACTCCCTGGTTGGGGTCGACGAGATAGCTCGAATCGATGGCTCGAAACGTTATCGGATATGGCCAAGAATCGCAATCATCAATGGCGAACGTGTTGCAATTTCCACTGGTATTAATCCATCATCAAACTAAACATTATATACACATATAGAAAAGGGTTAAAAAAAAAGCGAAACAAAGGTTTCGATTTACTTTGAACCTTTTTGCACATGAAACTTACTTCCCATCGTTGAACAGTCTCTTGAGCATCATTACGTTGACGTGTCATGCGTGCTATCATCTCTTCTAATCGACCACGCGTTTCACGCAGTCGAGCAAGTTCATTATCAGCATTAGCTAATTCTCTTTCTAAAGTGGAAACATCTTTTCCACCATCAGTTGAACTTTTTTGTCTATTGTCTAATTTACACGTGTTATCTGCATAGTATTTTCTAACTTGTGCAATATCTGTCATCATTCTGCCTGAAACTGGACGACCTCCACCACCGGACATAGCTCCTGAGACTTCAATAATTTGACCCTATGAAAAAGAGAGCAAGTTGAAATGGACGCAATCAGAGGGGAGGCTTTTGCAGCAAACATGACTAATTTTTCCAGTAGAGAGAGGTATGCTAAAAATAAACGGATACTAAGACTGCAGACAGACACCTAACTGAATTACAATGTTAAAATCATATTTATAATAATAAAAATTATTATTATTATTAAAATACAAACTCGGGCCATTACGGGTACCAAAAGATGTACCACACAAAACTGCATAGGTTGCATGAGCCATGAACCTGGAATAAAAAGGTGACATCAGAGTAAAAACTTCTTAGAAACCACCTTTCTAAATGTCTGAAGAAGATATTCCAGTCAGCCAACCTACACGTAGTGCATTCTTCAGCACACAGTTAATACAGTCTAACGTTAAGGATAAGATAGCCGCTTTTGGCCACCTCAGTGGTGTGTATTTATGAGTTTACTTGCTCGTGTGGAGCAAAGTACATCGGACTTTACGCAGCTGCTTCAAGTCCACGAACGTGTTCTGGAACACCGTCCAGTTTCATTAGCCGGAGGAGAAAGCAATAATACTAGCAGCTCCATATCCTCAAACACCTTGTCAACTCTGGACATCGAGCATCCGCACATGACTGCTTCACAGTGTTACACAGAGTTCCTGAATATCGTAGAAAAGAACTTCGAATACACCATCTGTACGTAGCTGAATCACTGGGTATTTGGGATTTGAAACAGCATATCTGCATTCAAAAGCATTACATGCATTCACTGGCCCTACAGTGACCAAAGTAACGTTCTCACTATAATTTCGCTTCATATTTTTATTGTAAGATAACTATATTTACTATTATTATTCTCATCATCCTTATTTTATTATCACTCTATTACTGTTTATTAATAACACTGGGTTTTTATACAGATTTTATATAAAAACACTTTATCGTCTTTCCACTAGTTCCTGTCCACTCTACACAGTCATTTTGAACAGTCATTTTCTCATATGTATTACGTCATCCCAACTTCTGCCCCCACTCTTTCTAACTTCCAACTAGTCATCCGATTATAGATTACAACTTACAGTATGTAACAATTTTTTCGAGGAGAAATATCACCAGTAGTATCTGATTGGTCGTCTTATAAATTCTTTTCTTCGCTGTTTACGTCTTTTCCCATAGGATACTGTCTGGATGCACAGATCAAAGCAGGTTGAACTAATCTGTCCTCCGAGCCTTTGATTTGAAGCCTGAACCACACCACAAGGCAGTGCAGCAGCGTCAGGAGTGGCATACGCATAGTTTCCGGTGACTAAATCAGGTTCATCAGTTCGAATTCTAGAGCCTATGCGCACACCATAGGTGTTTGATATCAGGGTTTTCTCCAACTCTCTTGTGTAGAGAGCTACACATGTCCACCAGTTGTAAGCGTCTGATGTGTTCACAGCCGCCTTTTCACTTTTGTAAAGATTTAAGCTCACACGATTAAATTGTGTTTGAATTCAGTAATCTAGAACAGATATTTCAATGTACAAGGCTACGAGACACAATTATCGTGTGAGGGCTTGTAGTACTGCGCCCTCCCCCCCCCGCAGTTGGGGATTTATTATTTCTACTACTTCAAGTATGATCTATAGAAAGAAAGAAATTGTTGCAATACGCGCAGATGCTGAAAATCCCATTCTGTGCAATTATTGAAATTGTGGTGAGTGCTACTAATAAGATTTATCAGTAGTATATAAAGAGAAATTCATCAGTATAAAAACATCAAATAGCAGGGAGATACATTTGATTTTAGAGCAGGCAAATAAAACAGCTCTGCGAAGATACATGGGAGACGTGAAAGGAACACAAAGAAACACAACATGAGGGTCTGTGCAAATGGTAAGCTGAAGATAAGGTATATACACATAATTTGGCTATATAAAGATGCCAAATTTTTAAATAAACGTTCATTTCCTTTACGAAGCCTACGTCTTTTACCGTTTCATTATTACTATTGTAATTGCAAAATTGGGTGAACAAGGACTCGAACCTAAGATCTATTGGCTGTAAGTCGAATATTTAAGCTAGTGAGCCAACATCACCTCTCCACACTTAAATAAAACGGAGAATGAAGAATCAGAAACGCCGCATCATCCACTCCACTTCCCCACCCCCCCCCCCAAAAATAGAAAATGATGGTTGGAGGTAATCGGTTGGAAGCAATGTCTCACCTAGATTTCATGCTTGTTGGCACTTACCAGTCAGTTAGTAAGACGTATCTGCAATCCTCAGGGAACTTATGTCCCTTCTGAGATTCGAACCCTTGTCACCAGTCAGTGATACAGTCACCACTACTGAGCTATTCGGGCTACATTGCAAACTTGCCAGATAGAATTCAGTCTGCGCCAAGCACAAGACTAGACGTGTGATACAAGTTACTAACTAGTGTTTAATGGAGAATGTTCAATACAGTCTTGAAGGAGGTCAACCGCGAGTTCGAAAAGCTCAGTGGTAAAGTCACTGACTGCCAAACTGGGTGGGTGAGACGAGCTCATATCACAGCAAGGACATGGGTTCCTTCAAGAGTGTGGATATGCTTTGGCGACTGGTGAGTACCAACAAGCTCGAAACCTAGACGCAAGGTATCCTGACAATTGTCTCCAACTACCTAGTAACTATACATTTCATCGTTCTTTGAGTTGCTTTCCAAGGGTTTCCTTTTCTTATCAGTTTCTACAACTTTGGGAACATCTTATTCACACACACTTGTTTGCATTCAAGAAAGTACAGTAAACTTGGTGTTGTTTCGTTCATGATGGCTAACAGATGGATTCAAGACGTGTGTTTCGCTCCATCCTGGACTCATCAACTGGATGTCCCTGCATCTGAATGCATTATGGTGTTCCCACTAAAACAGATACCCAGTAACCAACGTTTCGAACACCAAAGATGTTATACCACAAGGCCGTAAACTCCTCAGATCCAAGTGAAACTTCTCTTCCCCCCCTTCCGTTAGAGTAAACTGGACTAAGATGAAAAAAGAAGTCGTCATACCACTCACACACATTGAGAATGTTTGTACCACAACAACAGCAACAGCTATTTTAATTCTCTTATCACACAAATAATCGCAGAACAAATGGAATACATAAATATCTATATATCACCCTTTCGTGGATCAGATAGTGTGTGTGTGTACACAGAAGTTACCGGAGGGTTGTCGGGAGGGGGTACAGAAAGGCTGATAAAAAAATAAAATAATCATTCTCACCTGAAGTGTAACAACACGATGACGTCGTTGTTGACCGAAGGCAACTGTTGTAGCTGCGCTTAAATTCTCTGTAACCAATGTGTTTCTAAGCGCGAAATAGAAAGCTGGTTTCACGTTTGGTTCAACTGTTTCAATTAAATCATATAATCGATCCACACGAAATGGTACTTGAGGCTTAGGAAATGGTATAGACGCTTGTTCAGCCCATTTTTGCATTTTATCCAAAGCTAAAAAAGAATAACAATGTAAGTTGAGAGTAGAAAATAAAAATAGAGTTTTATTAGATATGACGAAGCATAAAGAGTGAATGCTTCTTCGAGAACTATTGAGAATGATTTGGAACTATCTCACCAATTTTCTCCAGCCTTCACTGGTTTCTACCATCCCGAGAACCCCAACCAGATAGTCTACACCTTCTCCTACGTGACTGACTGGATGGTTTAAACTAACTGTTGTGGATCCCATTGACTGATGAAGCGATGTTGGTTTTGATTTGACCACCAACCACTAGCTCTTTTCCAACCTGATCCGTTAGCAATGTCAGCTAACATTGTCCGTTGTCGAGGAAGGCGATCAATGACTAAGGATGTATGCATAACACATGTCCTAACTATCTCCATTGATGAAGCGAGTGAGTGTAAGTAACGCATCTAAACGCAGAGGTCCAGTTTCATTTCCCGAATAGCCGAGTGATTCGTGTATGTTAAAAGTTGAATATTCAGAAAACATTCGTGTGATATTGAGTAATTCTGCATAATTACTGTGAAGTAATCCATACACAGGCGCCCGATATCCAGAGTTCATAAGGCATTCAAGGATGGGAGTCTACAGGTATTCTACTTTCTTCCTCGCATATCCGACTATCGACTAAAGGACATGTGTTCTGCTCAACTGTCTGCTCCGTCCTCCTTTTTGGCTAGCTGTGAGACATGGCCATTGAGAGCAGAAGACATGGAAAGATTAGCTGTGTTTGATCATAGGTGTCTGCGTTCTATCTCCCGCGTGAAGTGGTATAATAGGGTGAGCAATACTGAGGTTAGGCGTCGACTGCTAGACAAGGAGGGGAAATCAATAGACGAGGTTGTGAAGCTACATCGACTGTGATGGTTAGGACATGTGTTACATAAGCATGCCTAGCCACTGAATTCCTCCACGGGCAATGTTAGCTGAAGTAGGATCGATCAATTGGAAAAGCGCCAGTTGTGGTCAAAACAAAGCGTGGCTACATCAGTCCATCAAATCCACAACAGTCAGTTTAAGTCACGTAGGAAAATGTAGACTTCCTGATTGGGGCACTCGGGACGGTAAAAAGTAATCAAGCCTGGAGACAATTGGTGATATGGATCGAAATCGTTCTTAATGATGGCGCAGAGGCATTCACTCTTTGTGATTTATCATAACCAATAAAACTATTCTTTTTCCCCCATTCACACTTCTGTTTATTATCTGTCTTTACTCCGTTCTCTTGTTTTGTGTGCTACGTGGAAGGAATGTGGCAACTCGAACTGCTACACATCTGTATAGCGTTCTACGTTTAAACCAGTCAGTCAGTGGTATATCCTGCGAACAGATTTTCCGAAGAATATATACACAATTGTACAATTTTTGAAAGTAACTCATCGAGAAGAAAATTCCCGCCGGTGTTACCACACTTTTCCTCCTCCTCCTTACGACTCAACTCAACATTGGAATTCTCCTTTGATTGGACACTAGTAACTAGTGTGATTTGTCTAATCCTTTGTTTGGTACAGACTGAATTCTAGCAGTCAGGTTTGCAATATGGCCGCCATTCTAGGTAGCTCGCCATCACGGTGTACATTGATTTGATGATATTAGACAGTTGGAGGCAATCGACAGGAAGCCTTGCACCTAGGTTTCGTGCTAGTTGGCACTCACCAGTCAGTCAGAAAGGCGTATCTGCAACCTTGAGGGAACTCATATCCCTTCCGAGACTCGAACCCGAGTTAACAGCCAGTGCTGCAGTCACAGACGTTACCACTGAGCTATTCGGGCTCGCGATTGACCTTCTGTAAGACTGTATTGGATATTTTTGGTCGAACATGAGTTCCTTCACGGTTGCAGATTCGCCTTGCTGATTAGTGAGTGCCAACTAGCACGAAACCTAGGTCCAAGACTTCCTGCCGATTGTCTCCAAATATCTATTATCATTGGAATTCTCCATTCACTTAAATAATAGTCTAGTAATAGAGTCATAAAGAATAGTTTTGGGAAAATAACTAACTTCAAAATTTTGTGTTTAGAAATAACCCCACCGTGGTGGTATTTATTATTACCATTCATTATAATGTGTAGATTTCTGTATCGATTTCGACTCACAACTCAAAACTGACTAAGTTTCATTCAGCATATGAGATTTGCACAGGAATCGCAGAACCTTAAGTTGCCACATTCCAGATAGTATACAGAGGAAAGAAAAAAATAATAAACTTCTCTAGCCGACGAATGATTGAGACGCAAACGAATGATAAGCTAGATAGTTTTGCCACATCTATGTGCATTTATCAATTCATCTGCACCTGAAGTGACAGTTATGTTGGGCGTACTACTAGACAGCTCAGCCAACGTGTTAGTCAGCGTCTACCATCGTGGTGGTTTGACAAAGGACAGACAAAAACAATCCGTAGCTCAGTTTTGTCACATTTAGTTGATAGTGGTCATGTAGTGGAGAAAACGAGAAGTCGGTCGGTCGGTTTTCGACATAGAACTTTGCACATATGTGCGGGAGTTCAAGTCGCCACACTCCCTTCATGTAGCACACAAACCAAGAGAAGAAGAAAGTAGGAGAAATGCACATTAGAGACAGTAAACAGAGGTGTGAGACGAAGAAATAGTAATAACGGAGAACAAAACAGTTTCATTGGAAATCATAAGTCACAAGGAGTGGATGCATCTGCCCCAGCCATTGAGAACGATGAGTTTGAGCCATGTCACCAATTGTTTCCAACCATTGGGTTTTACCATCCCGAGGACCCCAACCAGGAAGTCTACACCTTCCTAAATGGCTTAGACTAACTGTTGTGGATTTCATTGACTGGTACCATGTTTTCGTTTGACCGCCGCTAGCTCTTTTTCAGCCTGGCCCTATATCAGCTAACATTGCCCACTGTCGAGGAAGGCGATGACTAGGCATACGTAGCACATGTCCTAACCATCTCAGTCGAAGTAATTTCACAGTCTCGTCGATTGATTTCCCCGCCTTACCTAGCACTCGACGCCTAACCTCAATACTGCTCACCATATTATACCACTTCACACGGGAGATAGAACGCAAGCACCTATGATCGAAGTCAGCTAGTCTTTTCATGTCTTCCACTCTCAATGGCCATTTCTCGCTCACAGCCATAAGGGAAGAGGGAGTGGACTGTTGAGCAGTACACCCGCCCTTTGGTCGATAGTCGGATATCACCTCTACGCCAGAGACGGCGTAAACTGGCGTATGCGAACCTAGCCCTCTGTATTCGTGCTGATATTTCGTCTGAGATCAACCCGTTGGGGCTGATGGTACTTCCCAAGTAATTGAAGCGGTCAACGTGTTCTACCACTTCACTTCCTATTTCTAATCTAGGGGTCGATGAAGTCCAATCCTGCAGCATCATCTTACATTTTACAGGGGCGAACCGCATGCCAAACATACGAAGATTGTTGCTCAGGGTGTTCAGAATACTCTGCATTTTGTCAGAGTCCTCGCCTAGAAGGACTATTTCGTCCGCATATTCTAAGTCAAGGAGATTATTCCCTGGAAGCAAGTCAATCCCTGAGTCGCTGAAGTGTGCTAGGGTTAAGTCCATTAGTACGTCTATGACGAAGTTGAATAGGAATGGGGATAATGGGCATCCTTGACGGACGCCACTAGTCGTCACCACTTCAGATGACAACTCGCCATAAACCCTCACCTGGCTGCATGAGTACGAGTAGAGTGCTTTAATAAGTGCAATGTATTTTCTCGACATTCCCTTTACAGCCAAGCATCGCCAGAGGACCTCTCGGTCGACAGAATCGAATGCCGCCTTTAGGTGAAAAATATAATGATTGTCGGACGCCGGTAGGAATGCCTATGTTTTAGAATCTGTCGAAGGGTGAAGATATGATCAATACACCCTCTACCTGGCCTAAAACCTGCCTGGTTTTCTCGTGTTTGTGTCTCCCGAGCACCACTTAGTCTACGCAGTATTATTGAGCCTAGGATTTTAGATACTATATTAGTCAAGCTAATCCCTCTGTGATTATCACAAGAAGACTTGTCTTCCTTCTTGTACATCGGGATGATCAGTGACTTACACCAACCCGATGGGACTTCTTCTGATTCCCAGACGCTGCCTAAGAAAACGAGAGCCTTCAAAGTAATCCATCGTATCCCACCGAATCTTTCCATTAGACTTCGTATTCGTCCACTGCACGCACACAGCTGAGGAGATAGGTATTCGAACTATTAAACCTTATTGGCCTATTAAGACATAACCAACTGATGACTTCTACACCACCCCTTACTTGTATTTTCAACCCCTTTATAATCCCTTAATCTTATCACATCTTCATTAAAAACGTGTTTCATTTACTTCCTTGACAATCTAGCATTACTTAATCGGTTCATTTGTTTTTCTTAGCCTTTATCGACTACTACGTCTACCTGAACACATTTGTTTGTTTAATCATGCTGTTTTTCCATTATTCGTGTTATCACAGATTGCCTCACTTTTTCATCCTTATTATTGATAAAACCATTATTACTATTACCATTACTACTATTATGACTAATTGCACAATTTATATTCACCATTTTATTACCCTATACACAAAACACCATGATTGGTTCATATTTGAATTTTTATTTGTAAAATTATCTAGGTATATTAGAGTTAAGCCTGATGATAAGATCTAATTGAAAGCACAATATTGTTCGCTTAAATGTGTTGTTCGAAAGGACTATAATCAACGCAGATGTACACGGTTTAGCGGATATGAGGGTTCACATAGATATATTGAGTGAATACATTTGCGGCATTCAGAATGATTTTGAGTTATATATCATCAATAGTCTCCAGCTTTGGATCCACCGCCTCCCCCCGTCCCCAACTAAACAGTTTACACCTCTCTCTGCATGGTTCATTCATCAAACCAACTCTGTCAAGGACTTCATGAAATGATATCAGGTTTTCGTTGGCTAAACGTTGCTCTTCAAAGAAAGTCGATGGTTCAACACACATATGCAACACAGGTGTCCTCTGTCCATCTCAATCGAATAACATTAACAACCTCATCGATTGACTTCCCCTCCTTACCTAACACTCTCATTATTACTCCCTATATTGTAACCCCACAGGGAGAAACAACGCAAACACTAGTGGTCAAAGACAACTTGGCCTTTTCATATCTTCCACTTTTAATGGTAATGCCTCACAGCCATAAAGGAGGAGATGGAGAACTTCTGAGCAGCATACACGTGCTTTGACCGATAACCAGACGGGAATATCACGTCTATTAAGTTAGATATGGCATGAGTTAGCGAATCCCAAAAGAGCCTTCTGTGTCTGTGCTGAGATTTTGTCACTAATCACTGCATTTGAGCTGATACAACTCCGCACATAAGTGAAGTGGTCAACACACTCCACCATTCCACTCCTGTCTACCTTTAAAGTAGGAGTCCGTGCAGTCCAGTCCAGTCCAGTCCTGAAGCATTATCTTACACTATTTAATGGCAGCAAATCGAATGCCAAAAAAAAAATTCAAGGATTGCTGTGTCCCTAAGATGTTCAGAAAACTTCTTCGCATACTCTAAGTCGATAAAGCCGTCTCCTCTGATAACAAGCCAATCCTTAAGTTGCTAGAGTCAATTAGGGTCAAATCTATGAGTATACGTATGATGGAATTAAACATAAGTGAAGATTTCTGAAGGGCGCCACCACTGCTCAAACCTTGGTGATTCGACTAGAGGATCACGTGAAAAACATAAAACCCGATAAATAAAAAAAAACTCAATCAATCAATCAAATCTACCTATCTATCTATCTATCTATCTATATTACCTATGAAAGTGGCTTTTCCAAGATTGTGCTCTTTTAAAAAATTGACAGCTTGCTGAGCTGAATCCATAGTATCAGTAACAATATTGTTCAAGGCACCACAAGCTGTTGACACTGCAATATCATATCGTGGAGCAATAGCACCCAGGTCACCAAGTCGGCCAAGAATTCCTGGCAATATACCAGAACGTTTTGCTTCAAGTAAAGCATTTAACATTCGACTTCTTGAATTATCGACCTATTATTGATGAATAAAATTTGTTTTTTTAAAAAACATTCAAAAATTTATCAATATATATGAAATCAAAATTGAAATAAAGTGAATCCTCCTTCTGCAAACAAACTATTGAAAGTTAATCTGATGCCCACCAGTGACTGGCTACGGGGTGAAGTAGCCTGGAGATCCAGTGGGATTTCACCCGGTCGGGAGAGAGAGGACAAACAGTTACCACAAATGACATTTGGTTGGTGCAAGTCACGCTAAAATCATCAAATGGTACAAGTTGGAATTCATGGGCTGGTCACACACCCCGGCGGGTGCCTACTGTCAGTGAGTCCCGAACTAGGATGGAACAGTTGTCCAGTTCTCCCTGATGATTTTCAGTGGTTCTCTCAATGATATTAAACTGTGGTAAAACTTGAGACAAATCACAACCCTAGGAATTAACTCTTGTATATATGAAGTCACTACGAAATAAAATAAGATGACATTACAAATATGTCTGTAGGTATAAATATTTTCAATTCAGAAAATGGATGTCCAGATGGTGTGGAAGAATGCGAATACAACTACTACTCAACAACCAACTGCATTCCAATGCAATTGAGAATGAACCACACCTAATAGGGTGTGAGAGTTAGCTAGTGAATACTACTTGGGTGTCCAAACCCAGTCGGTGGCAGTCGAAAAGCTACATACACCGATGAGTCATATATAGCCCCATTCCACATACTCATTGATGACATTATCCAGTTGGCCAGGTCGAAATAAGTGGAGCTGAGTTCTGAACCCTGGAACCACACACCAGAGCACACAAGGAACAGGTTTTGTTGTTGAACTGCTAAATATTTATTCAACTTTCAGATACAACTCACTTCTTAATGAAGTACCTGCTCAACTGGTCAATACCATCAGGCCTGGTGACAAAACTTCTGCGATTAAATGCGAAAGCTTGGAGAACATCAGCAGATATTATCCATCCTTATATCTTGAGACACAAATCTCGTGGAAAGAAAAGTAAACGCATTGAGGCAAATCAACATTGTATATACCCAGTTTACTTGCTCCTGTGGATCTGTGTATATTGTCCGTAGTTTTGTGTCCGTCTATGAAAGAGACGCTGATTATTATTATGATGAACACCATCTACAGCTTGGCTAGCAGCAAAGGGAGAATGTAGCTCAGTAACAGAGCATCTGATAAATTTAGGACACTAAGCTTCACTTGAAGTGTCCTTCAAACAAAGTCCTATACAAGATCCGATCAAACCTCCCACATATGAGGGTAAACTCAAGACATGTAGGCATATAGGTAAAGCATTCACGATCCAAACATTCAAGCCAAAGTTATGTATTCAGAGGAAGTACGCATTTGTCATGGATATCATAAACAGTCAATTTTGTCAATAATCAATTATCCCAGTATGTTTCGTTATTCGCTAGAATTTGTCCCACAACCGGAAACAATCCAGGAAGTTTTTTTCAGCCCTTGCGCAATTTATCCACGAATGTGCAGCCTAGCTCATAGCATTATGGATAAAATCTTTTGATAAAGTCTCACACTGTCGTATAATACAGTAAGTAATATTTACTGATGATAACCACGTTTCGAGCATAATTTATTACTGCAACTCATAATCAAATCAAAGCACTCACTCACACAACTTTTTTACTTCATTTATATACATGAGTGAAATCAATATAAGATAAAGTACATTCAGAAATAATAATATTAGTGTTATCAATAAAATACAATCACATGGGAAATAAGACGAGTGTTTTTATAGTAAAATAAATAAATAACCTGTTAGAATGTTATCATGTGAATTGAATTGAATACATTTTAATGTCATTTATTATCCTCCTCTGATTTGACAGACTGGTGGTAATAATATCTTCCATACAAATCTCTGGTATTTCCATTGAGTCACTTCTATTGCATGTGGTGGGTGTAGACTCGATGAACCAGGCAGGATTCAGTAATCAACCACCTCTCTCCACCTACCTATACTACTTTTTAGAATCTCGACTCTGTCCCGCACACCCTACTGTATGTTTCTGTGTGAAAGCATGCAGTGCAGTAATTTAGAAAAAAAACTCAGGCATAGCACTGCAATTCATTAAGATAAAATTACACAACAGAGTGGGTGGGACAGAGTTAAAATTCTAGAAAGTAATACAGGTAGGTGGAGAGAGAGAGATTGATTACTGAATCCTGATTCATAGAATAATCTACACCCAACACAACCGATAGATTTGGCGAGGAGGCGTCTTATCAAGAACTTCATACATTTGGTTCTCTTGATAAATTTCGATAAAGAGTAGTCATCTATAATTCAGTGATCTCAACTCACTGAGCAAATCTCAATCTTAGAAACTGTAACCGTTTTTATTATTTTTTTCTTGAGTTGCTATGTGAACCTAGAAGGCTAACACTGATCGTTACTTTTTTTCTGTTTTCTGTCTTACCCCTTTCCCCCTCTCTTTTCTAATTTGAAGGCGCATAAATCGATGATGAAAACTTAAAACTAAAAAATTGTAATGCTGCTTACATTTTGAATGCGTCAATTTCATAGTTTTTCTTTCCTCTCTGCTACACCACTTAAACATTAAAGAATGTTATTATCATCTATATAACCATTGTAATCCTCAGGTAGTCTATGACAGCTAATGAGAACCTGTGAAATAGAATGATGATATCACTTTATACTTCAAATTTCGTCTTTCTTTATTTATCGAAACATGCTGTAGAAGTGACTCAAATAAATAATCTTAAAATTCTATTTCAATTCAAGTACATCATAACATTCTAACAAGTTACTTATTATGACTATACAAACACTCGTCTTATTTCCCATCTGATTGTAATTGATCAATAACACTCATATTATTATTATTTTTGAATGTACATTATCCTGTGGTGAGAGCTGTCTACTAGCAAAATTGTTAGACAGTAATTGACGTCAATGTTTACGTTCTCAAGATTTGTCGTGAGAAAATGTGAACAAGACTGATTCAAAACCCGACCAGATACAGTTAACATATAGATGATGTGACATTCAAGAAACAGTCACAAAGAGATGAAAGATTAACTTTGAGTGAGAAACAATCAATCAGAAGACTGTGTTTGTTTGCTTAACTAATCTATAATAATGTACATGAAAATATATAAATATGCTTTAATTTCCTTAATAAACGATCTGTTGCCCGGCCCTTGTTTTCTGTTGTTACAATCCTATACTGATTTTTATTCAAATGTTTAATCTTCAATTTCACTTATGTATATAAATGAAGTAGAAAGTTGTTTGAATAGTACCTTGATATGATTATGAGGGTCAGTAGTTTGTGCTCGAAACGTCATCAGTAAATCCTACTGTATAACACTGTGTGATTTATCATAATAAAATCTTATCTTTAATGAAGCTGACGTCTACTGTTTAAGTTGGTCGGTTAAGCCGGAGTTAAAAGGTCAAGTATCCCCGCCATCTGATATGTTGTTATATTACTCTTGGTTGTTCATGGACGCACTCTAGCAGTCATTACCATTCTACATTTCTCCACTTGAAGTACATTTCGTATTTTGGAAAATCGATTCGTTGTTCCGATCTGGCTCTCTCGGCGAAGATGAGATATTTAGAAAAACAAACTCAGCAATTGCAATGCATGCACCAACACACAACCACACAATAGAGTGGGTGGGAAAGAATCAAAATTCTAAAAAGTAATATATGGAGGTGGAGAGAGAGAGTGATTACTGAATCCTGCCTGGTTCATCGAATAATCTACACCCAACACATGCAATAGACGTGACTCAACGCAAATACCAGAGGTATGTATGGAAGATATTATTACCATCAGTCAATTCAATTCACATTATAACATTCTAACAAGTTATTTATTTATTTATTTATTTTACCATAAAAACATCTTATTTCCCATGTGATTGTATTTTATTGATAACACTAATATGATTATTTCTGAATGTACTTTATCATATGATATTGATTTTATTCATATGCCTAATGAATTTTACTCATGTGTATAAACGAAGCAAGAAAGTTGTGTGAGTAGTGCCTTGTTGATATGATGATTATGAGTTGCAGTAATAAATTATGCTCGAAACGTGGTTATCATCAGTAAATATTATTTACTGTATAACACGACTGTGAGACTTAATAAATGAAAATAAAATTTTGTCCATAATGGAGTTGTATACTCTACCAGCACAGTGCCCAAGTTTTATCCTTATAGCTGATAGCGTCTTTTTGTCTTTTTCTAGAACTGTGTAATGTGTGAATTTGATTGGCCTAAGTAGGCTAGTTTGACACAATTAAGGTGATTCCAACTGATTCAGCCTCTTTGAACTAAGGCTACCTACCACCTTCAGTCCGCTACTGATGAGTTCGGTTACAAAGCAGGCGGAACTGTCCTTCTATCCTTCTGTGGTGAGAGATGGTTGTTAGCCAAATTGGTTGACAGTAATTGAGGTCAATGTTAGTCATGTGAAAAATAGGTCAAGATGGACAGGCGGATACAGTTAACATATAGATGGACTGACACAGCCACAAGAGATGCAAGGTTAACTTTGTGTGAGAAACAACCAATCAACAGACTGTATTTTCTACTAACACTAACCTACAATAATGTACATCAAAATCTATAAATACGTGTTGATTTTCCGTAATAAACGTTCTGTTGCCTGGCCCTTGTCTTCTGTTGTTACACTTCGACCACTTCAAACAGTACAACTCAATGTGAATGGTTCCAGACTACGCATATCAATCAGTAGGCCCCCGGATACCATCACGCTACAAATCTCCCAACCACCCACCCCCCACGCCGAACGATTGAACTTTCACTAACAAGCATAACACACACACACACAACAACAACAACAAAAACAACAAAAAATAAAGATGAAATCAATAGTCAAATCTCTTTGGTTCTTTCTTTACTAACTTACCTGAAGAGAAGATTTCGAGTCTGCCAATTTATTACGCAAGTCATTGACTTTTTTTGCTGCATCAGCTTCACGAGCTTTCACTTCAGCTAGATCACGTGTAGCTGAAGCCAAAGCTGTTCCCAGAGTGCCTTTTTTACCACCATCTCGACTACTGTTGCTGTTGTTGTTGTTGCCGTTTTCTATACCTGATAGTCGTTGTCTAGCCTCATTTAGTTCATGTTCACAAAGTTTCAACTTTTCTTCAACTGATTGTTTACTTTTACGTGCTCCATCGGCACGCTCTAATTCACGTTGTTGACCAGTCATCATTAGATTATACTGTTGACGTTGTAATTTTAACTTATTTGTCAATTGTTCAGCTTCTGATTGTAATGGCCCGAGGATTGATTCACTTTGTTCAACTTTCATTCGTAAAGGCATGGATTCTTTAGCTAAATTATCAAGTGTTTCCTAAAAGGCAAAGGAAAAGGAGGAGGAGAATAGAAAAGAGAAATAAATGAATTACTATAAGTAGTGATAACCTCACCACCTAGTTTTCTCTGTCTGTCTGTCTAGTTTTCTAGTCGGTCCCAAGTCACGGTAAAGAGGAAGGAGGGTTAGGCGTACGGGTTAGCAACCCTACAACACCACAAAAGCTAACAAACTCCTGGAGGAACTTCAATTGCACAAAAAGCATACTTTAAAAGAAGAAATACAAAAAAATTCAAACAACAACAATCTTATTCTTCTCTGGAATTGGTGAAGAGGCGAAATGACACACAGCGGGTTGGCTGGTGAAAGCCAGCCTTCAGGAAGATAGTCTCACCCAGTCGATGTGCCTTCTCTCGATGAAAGCAAGAATAAGAATGCGGATGTGGAAAGGCTGCTGCTCAGGTAGCCAAAGAAATGAGAAGATATGGCATAGAAGTGCTGAGAGTCTGCGAGAGCAGGTGGAATGGATGTAAACTGCCAAAATGGTCAACTGGAGAGTCAGCAATCTACTCCGGTCTGGTCATACAGACGACAACCACGAGCACACTGAGGCAGGGAGTGGCTATCATGATGTCGCCAACAACAGCCAAAGCTGTAATGTAGTGGGAACCAATTTCATCCAGGATTCTATTTGATTATAGATTGATTCCGCACCGTATTTTTCGGTACAGGTATGGAATTTTCAGCATGCGATATCGGTAGCTCAAATTTTACAGGCCGACCATTGATATCAGGTGTGTGTAGGCAGGGGATCGAACCCCAGACCGTGTGCATGGTCAGCGGGAGTCCTAACCACAAGATTCAACTCAAAAGGAAGGAAGGAAGTTCACAATAATCCAAGGGTACGCGCATTATACTACAAACAACGCAGAACAAGAGAAGAAAGAAGACTTTTATAAACAATTACAAACAGTAATGAACAACACCCCGAATGGTTGCTCAAACCTCGGTAGGTCGAATGGAATTTGAGCCCGTGACTCAGTAGTGGTTGGAAGTCGAGAGACTAAACCAATAAGCTACAGTGCCACTTGTAGGGATTTGGATTAATTTGAATGTACATTTCGTTACAAACTTTATGAGTAAGCCTACAACAACCACCCAACTAGGCAAACAGATCGATTATATTGGACCAGAATGCTCAGTTTCAACTGATGTATCTGCTGCTAGTATGAGACGCTTCAATGATGTTTGAAGATACAGACAATGTTTCTCAGTTGGTGCTGGCTAGCAGGAGAATTACAGAAGTGCCTTCAGTCCTATTTCAGACTCATCACCCGCTGCAAGTACCTACAACTCCAGTGACTGATGGCAACGCTTTGGTGTGCTAGGGTCGGGTCTCGATAGGAGCATCACTACCGACTGGGGATGCATGTATATCCAGTTGGCGAGTTTCATCCTGGATTCTACTGCCAGCCACTACCACCAGCCAAAAAGAAAAAAACTGATAGCTTAATTGAAAATCCTAGTTAGAGGTAGAAATATCCATACATGTGTTTACCTCATAATACCACCAGTTTATATTTATTGTCATACGATCTGTCGTTTAAAAATGATTGACAGGAGAAGTAAAGCATTATATTTTCTTTGCAATTTAAATTATACACTTAATTTTTGCAGTTAGCATTTACGCACAATATGGGAATGAGTTAGACATTGCCTGCTGTGTCACGACACGCCTATTGTTCTTTTCTCGTGGTTATCAGGTGGTTATGGTCTGTGAATAGAGAGACTCGTTGATTTAGTGAAATATATATATGTGTGTATGAGGACTGGCGGTATCCGACAAGTCACTCGTCACATTTCCAGTACAAGCCTCTGCCAGGTAAGTCTTACACTCACTGCCTTCAACGGTCGCCACAGGGGTGTTTCTCATAAAAGTGGAAGGACAAACCCGGTCGTCTGGCACTTACAACCGAACTAGTGGACATGAATGTCTACCTAGGGGAGGTAGAAAACCCTGATTCCAAAACTATGATGATGGTGTTAATCGGTTCCAAAAGGCGAACGAATCGAATAACGTATGAACTGGTTTTGGTCACCAACAGCCATGGGAATGCAACTCCTAACACCTCTCCACTGCCGTGTAGATCAGACTTCAAGTCAAAGGCTCAGAGGCGAAGATGGCTCCTTAAGACTACTACCTGATTTGGTCTGCGCATCCGACCGATATCCTAGCTCTCGTACAAACTATGAATTCTTGTGTGGCGCACATCTCTTGGTGCCCACGATGTACCAAGTTTATGATGTGATAAGTAATAAATGAACCAAAATGCGAACACTTCTATTCCAATGACATCGAAAAGCATGATAACAGACGGGACAATACCAATTGTGAAATATGTTCCGGCTATATATATTTATAAACGTGCTTCAAATCGAGGAGATCCAGATAACACAGAGAAATACACCTGGTTAAAAGTCATAAAAAAGGAATCAATAAAACAAAGTCTGACTGATTGATTGGAGCTCTACGTAAAAGTGTAGCATTCCAAGCCACAACACCACATGCCAGAGTAGAGAAAACTAAAACTTCAAAGGCGCTGTAATAAAAACAGCAGTGTACAGCTGAAAGAATCAGTACCTGGAGAAACATCAGGACTTAGGAATATATTTAGGAAAACACAAACAGTGAATACATCTGCACTATCAAAAATGATTTCCAGCCAGCTGTGTAACCAACAATCAATCACGAACCATCACTTCTCAGAGTCCCGAGGACTTCAATCGGGGGGTCTGTATACTCCCCTAAGTGGCGTAAATCAATAAAGACTTCATGGATTGATACCATGTGATTTGGTTCCCTTCTCCAACTCAGTCAGACGTCAGCTAACAGGGCTGAAGATGGAGGGCGATAATTTGGTATGCCTATAAGTGTGTAAATAGCTCAGAAACCTCAATTGACCAATCCCTTCCTCTGAGGTTAGGCGTCGAGTGTTAGGTAAGGAGGGAAAATCTATCGATGAGATTGTGAAGGCACCATCGCTTGAGTGGTTAGGACATGTGTTACGCATCCCGAACCATCGTCTTCGCAGAAGGCCAATGTTAATTGATATAACATTAGGTTGGTAAAGAGCTACTGGTGGTCGAAACCAAACATGGCTCCATTAGTCAATCAAATCTTTAACAGTTAGTTTGAGCCACGTAGACTGCCTGGTTAGGATACTCAGGATTCTAAGAACCAATGGTTGAAGACAATTGGTGATAGGGCTCAAAATCGTTCTCAATAGCTGGCGCAGATATGCATTCACTCTCTGTGATCTGGTATATCCGAAAAAACCCTATTGTTTTACTGTTGCCATTCTTTCTCACCCCCCCCACCACCACCCTCCTCAATTTTTCATATTCCTTTACGTTCCCAGTGGAACATGGGGGCTTCAAGTTTCTGTAGCAGTGGTGCTTATTTTCACGGGATGAGGTCGCTAGTCTCATGCCCAACCTTCCCTCTTTGTCAGTCCTATTACTGCCTTAGCGAGGTAAAGGAGTGCGCCAGACGGGTATCGAACTCCGGACCACCTGCATGGCTGGCGAGCATTCTACCGCTGTGCCACCAACGCTCCTCATATTTCTTATTGATTATCGTTCTTTCAAATCTCTTCCTCACCCCCTCTTCTGTCTTCCGTTTGTGTGCCACATGGAGGAGTGTGGCAACTCGAAATGGTGCAACTTCTGTGCAAAGTTCTATGTTGAAATCAGTCAGTCAGACCTACCCTCCTTACCTAACACCACCCGACGCCTAACTTCAGCAGTGCTGACTATATTATACCACCTCGACACAGAAGACAGAACTCAAAACGAAGCTACTTCGTAGCCTTCATAGACATATATTAAGTGAACAGACTATCGGTGCAACCTGAGTCAATGCAAATGATTCAGAAGGAGCGATAGTTTCCCACCGAACATCGTGATCGACAGCTTATAAGATGCACGATTTACTCAAGTCCAACGTTAATTTAACGACGGTAGTAACCAGAAACACATACACACACACACACAACAACCTACCCTGTAAGCTTGTTCATGCTGTTTTTTGATTTCTTCATATTCTGCCAATTGTTTTTCAATTTCCTCACGGCGAGCATTAGCTTCCTCGGGAAGTTTTTCCAACTTTTCTAAATTAGTTTTCTCTGTTTGAATAGACTTGGTTAAACGTATTGATGCATTTTTTGTATGTCCATGTTCATCACGTAATCGGCTGTCTTCAGCTTCAAAATCGGCAAATTTAGCCTTTAATTCACGATGTCGTGTTTGTAAGTCGGAATGTTGCTTAGTGAGTTCTTCACGTTTTGATTCTAATTGTGAAATTAGTTTAGTGGTTTCGCGTATTTGACTAGTTAATTCCTAAAAAGGAGAGAATAAGCCAAACCTTAATGTATTAATCACACCAATGATACACGCACATACACACAAACACATGTAATTCATTTGACGTGTGTGTGTGATGTGAATACACATCGGACAAACCTCGCCAGAGAGAAATCAAAGTAATCAGAAGAAATAAACACAGCGTGTAGCCGCATCTGTTCGGCCACCACCAAGAAATCCAGGTATAATCCATAGCTCTGGTAGTGACGTTGAGTCATTCCTATTGTAAGTGCTAGGTGTGTTACGACAGAAGACAAGGGCCAGGCAACAGATCGTTTATTGAGGAAATCAAGAGATATTTATGGATTTTTATCTACATTATTATTAGCGTTATTGTTTGCAGAGAAGCAACATCTTCTGATTGGTTATTTTCCTGCTGAAAGTTATTCTGTCATCTCTTTGTTGTCATTTCTTAGACTGTCTGGTGATATATCTGCGAATCGTATCCGCCTGCACTAAGTCTGCTGTGATTGGTTGTTGAGTTCCTCAAGGTTAGGCTTTGTTATTGTTTTATCTCGTGACCCCGATTGGGGAAGTAAACATTGCCGTAAATTGGTGTCTACAGTTTTGGCTAGCAGACAGCTCACACCACAGGTGTAAATTCTATCAACAAAGATTCACTAATTAACTTCTCCACTCACCTTTGTTACTCTTTAGAACTGTATGTAATTCTATCCCACCCACCCTATTGTGTGCCAATGCATGCACTGTGATTGATAAGTTTTTATGTAAACTATATTTATTTTTGTATGGAGGATTTCATCATGAGCTGACATCAGTTAGAGAACCACTGGAAAACCTGGGAGTACTGGACAGCTGTTTCGTCCTAGTTTGGGACTCTTCATCAGTACGCGCCCACCGGGATTCGAACCCAGGACCTTCTGGTTACAAGGCGAGCTCCTATATTTATTTTCTTGAGGTCAATCATTCCTTACACTTAGCTTAATTCTTGTGATCCAATAACCTTGTGGTGAGAGCTGTCTGCAAGCCAAAATTATAGACAACAGTTTACGTCAATGTTTACGACCCGAATCGGGGTCATGAGAAAAGACACTGACAAAGCCTAACCTTGGGGAACTCACCAATCAATCACAGTAGACTTAACGTTTGCAAATACGATTCGCAGATATATGACTTAACTTTCTAAGAAACGGTTGGCCACAAGCAGTACAGAATAACCTTGAGCAAGAAAACAACCAATCAGAAGACATCACTATCCTATTAACAACAACACTAATAATAATGTACATAAAAATCTAAAAATATCTGTCTTCCGTCGTTACAGCCTGACAAACTTTCATCTACTGGATTAACCTGTATATATTTCACCTCAGAGTGTCACTGCAAGGTATTTTGTAAATTATATCATTTTTTCCCCGAGAGTTAGGTTGTAGGTTTAAATACCACCACCTTAATTCCTATTTTATTAAGAAACCTAAGCAGGGTTTCAGATGTCCCCTCCCGTATACGATAAAAAGACTGCAGATGCCGTGAATTCTTTCCTATTTATGTTATGGTCAATAATTCTGCCACAATTTAGAGTTACTGTTCGGTTTGTTAGACACCCTGAACTAAGCCTGACTTTACAGGTGACGGATGAGACGAACTGAAGTCTACATATCTATCTAGTCAGTGACTAATGTAGTGTGTTTAGTCCTTCGATCGTGAGCCCGAATAGCTCAGTGATAGTAACATCTCTGAATGCAGCACTGACTAGTGACGCGCAGGTTCGAATCTCAGAAGGGACATGAGCTGTTCCTTCAAGGCAGTTGCAGATACGCCTTGCCAACCGACTGATGAGTAGCCAACAAGCACGAAACCTAGGTCAGGCGCATATTGCTTCCTGTGGCCGACTGCCTCCACAATCATCAATGGACCAGCAATATCAATGGTGAATTCTCCTTGTTCATTTTCTGAGTCAAATGAAAATTTCATCTCCTCTGCTATTGAGTTTGTGTGTGAAGAGACTAGACCATATATATCTTTGGCATAGGGATTAACAGCCATATTTTCCCAATTATCCATAAAGACATTTTTGCTAATGATTGAGGATACTGATGGTCACATTGCTGCTATTCTACCTGTTTGTCCACAGATTTCGCCCTAGAATATGTAAAGACAATAAACGTGGGGCATAATTGAATTCCTAAAGTAATTTCCTCCACTGGGTAAGGTTTTTCCTATGAGTAAGTGCGGGACTAACAGTTAGTTCTTTTTTTCAAACTACTTCCAAAAGCCTGTATTGATTCGTGTAATTAGCAGTATAAAAACTAGTTATCATAACTCCCTATCTGTGTGTTCAGGATCACATGAAGTGTATGAATTTACCTGACGACTTCCTCGGAAACAAAAAGGAAAAAGAGAAGAAACGCAGTTAGGTAGGTAGGTAGGTAGGTGAATGCATACTTACTTCAGCTTCTCGTTGAACTTCTGTCAGCTTTTCTTTAGCAATCTTTGCAGTATTATTTTCTTGTGATAATTTTTGTTGATATAATATATTTTTCAATCGAACCAATTGATTTACTAAGCGTAGATAAGCAATCGCTTCATTTCGTACACTTTCAAGTTCATCTTTCTCTTTCTCGACAGCTTTAACACGTGCCAATTTCTCCAGGCGTATATCATTTATTCTTTCTATACGCGTAGCATATGTATTCAATGGTGCTTTGTAACGAGATGATCCGATTATATCCTAAAAGTGAAATAGGAACAGCGATAATAATAATAATAATGATAATAAATATTAAAGTATATTCTGTAGACAATACTAAGAAGTCAGTTACACAAAAAAAATTTCGCATGCGTTAGGAAATGAGGATGCCACACTACTAACTGAGTATATGACGGAGGCTTGGATACTACTGTATCCAGTCGCTAAGCTTGAAGTAAAGGGGGGGCGAAGGTCGAACTTCGGGATCCACAGGCTGAAAATCAAGTTCCTGAGCGCATAATATAAGCTATATATCTCTATAAGTATGAGAAATATTATTTATCAATGAAATGAACATTTCATACATTTATTCTCCTTAATGAATTTGAATAAAGCGAGAACTACAGTGGTTTGTGCAGAATAAAGTGGCACCATCATTGTTTATTTCGTCGCCTTCTCGTCAGCTGCTTACAGGCCACAGTCATTATTAAGTATATCTACAGAAACAATTTTAACATAATGCACAGAGTTCATTTTAAACAAAAAACAAAGCGGAAAAGGACTACTCACTGCCTGTAAACAAGAAGCCTTTATATATACGACTACAATTCATGGGCGATATACCAAGCGAGATAATTACGAAGAAATTAAGAAAATCAGTTGAAAGAATTTTTAATGCTGGCGAACTACACGACCGATGGTGCTACCTCGACTGAAAGATGAAGTACCTAGACTAACCCCTTCAAATTGTATCTATCAATTCAACTGCGCTGGTGGAGCGAGTTATATTGGCCGTTGCTCTAGGAACTTGATTTTTCGTGCTCGAGAACATATCCCACTATGGCTAAGTAAAGGTTTAGTTAAAACTATTAACAGCTCGATATTAGACCATCTGGTGCAAACCGGTGACAAAGCCAGCGTAGAATCCTTCTCTATAATATACCGGATGCCTAACAAATTACCAAAATCGTCGAAGCACCGCATGCTTCAAGCAGCAGAGGCTATTGCAATTCGCCTCAAACAACCAGTGATCTATGTTCAAAAGAAACAAGTCCAGCCCCTACAACTGCCCTGGCCCTCAGTAGAAACTATAAACTCATGAATTCCTACTATTATCTTTCATAATTCTTCTGACATTCAGCTTATTTTATGTTGATGCTGTTCAGCTGTAATCTATCAATATTGATTTGATGTTATTGAAACATTAATGTCGTTCATAAGACTAATTCATTCATTCATTCATTATAATGTATATATAATTGTAGAGCCTCATGATGAATTTATCGAAAAGAGTACTCTTTGTTCCGTGTCCATTCTTTTAAAAATCAATCAATTAATATATGCATACAGTAATTATATATATATATGTATATATATATATATATAAAACACTATTCCGAACAATAGTGATCATACACAAACAATGTACACCGTGATGGCGAGCTACCTAGAATGGTGGCCACATTACAACCTGACTGATAGAATTCAGTCTGCACCAAAGAGAGGACTAGACGCATCACACTAGTTACTAGTGTCAAATCAAAAAAATACAATGGAAACTTTCGGCATTACGTATCCAGATGAAATAGAGATGAAAATATCCAGTTACCAGGGCAAAGAAAGACTGATATCTGTTTTTTTCTGAACGCACAAATTAGGTTTCAGGCGCTTGATGGAGATGGCTTCAGCAAACTTGAGGACGATTTTGCGACGTCCACCTCATGACCCGTGTCAAGGAGATGTCTGGCGATGACATAAGCCCTTCTTTCTGTCCTTCCAATGTAACTACTACCGCAGATACATGTAAATTTGTATATACAGTTGGAGTTAACATGAGAAGGGTGTCTATCGATTTTTGATTGCACCAAAGAGCAAGTTGTTCGATATACGGGAAACAGCTTAGCTGCAGGAAAGGCTCTGACTAGTGGCGTACTCAGTCTTCTGTTGACCAATGCTGCAATGTTTTCACCTTTATAATCAAGTTGAATTTAGATTGGCTTTTTCTCCACTGTGATTTGCTTTACATTTGGGACTTCAGATCTTCCATACTTGTTGATGAACCTTTGAGGGTACCCATTGCTCTTCAACATCTTTTCAAGAAACATAAATTCTTTTAATTTCTCTATAGAGCATATTCTCCTCGCTCTGTAGTACACAGTCTTGACTAGTCCGCGTTTAAAGCTATTTGGACAAAAACTATTAAGATGTAAGTATTGTCCTTTCCAAGTAGGCTTTCGATAAATTGACTTCTGTAGACTACCGTCTTTTAGGCGTTCCATGGCAATGTCGAGGAAGTGGAACTTTCCGTCACTTTCATGTTCTATAGTAAACTCAATATTGGTATGTGCGTCATTGAACAATCTGAGTAAGTGTGAAGCATGACTTTCATTGTTACACACTACAAATGTGTCATCGATATATCGACAGTAGGAAGTTGTTTCGTCGATTGCATGCTTCAACTTTGTTCTTTCAAGGTGGGACATGAATATATATGCTAAAACAGGGCTAAGTGGACTGCACATAGCTACACCATCTATTTGGAGGTAAAGAGTGTTGTCAAATTGGAATTGCACATCCATAGTACACACAAGCAGTAGGCGTTTAAATTCCGACTCTGGGAGTGGGAGAAGATCAGACTGCTGACAAATGATATCAATAGTTTCGTTGATTGGAATGATTGTGAACATTCAAGTACAAAATCTACATAATTCATGAATTAAGTTGTCTGGAATAATACTATTATTGTAGTGAAATGATCGATAATTTTAATGTTAGCGGAGTTTCAGGAAGCAAAATATTACTACGCTTTGCAATTAATAGTGTTCTCTGAGTTGGCTGGTTGGTTTAGTTGCGGAGCTTTCGTCGTCCTTCTGGACAACATCTTCAGCGGAATTTTTATTTTTTTATTTTTGATTATAGCTTGAAACCACACAGTATTTTTGGTACAATTATGGAATTTTCAGCATATGATATCGGTAGCCCAAATTTTGCAGGCCGACCATAGATATCAGTTGCGCGTCGGCAGGAGATCGAACCCCGGACCATGTGCATGGTCGGTGAGAGTCCTAACCACTGTGCCACCGACGCATAAAGAAAGCTCCGCAACTAAACCAACCAGCTCAGAGAACACTATTAATTGCAAATCATCCACCTGAGGTACAAATCTTCTATATTACTATGCTTATTCGCCCCTTGTGTACCAAGTGGAGTTTTGTGGTTCAACGGTACATCCCTATTTCATCTTGTTCTCTACAATTCTTTCTAGTTGGATCCTCCACCTACTCATCCTCCCCTTCCTCACAAGATCCCCGCATGTCACCCTCTGGAGGCCAACTTGCCCATTAGGTTTCTACTCGTGGATCTACTTGGAGCGTGATATCACTCAACGATCTCTTCAGTATGCTGGTACTTTGACATAATTCCTTGTTGTTTATCATTTACTGCTGGCCAGCTATCTTGCTCTTCACTAACGAATCAGAGAAGGAAGCAGCTGTTGATAAAAGTCTGCAACAGGCTGTTGGAAATGCTTTTCGTGACACGTCAAGTCACTGGACTGCACAGAAGCACTGACTTGACACTAGTGTTAAAAAGGTTAGTTTGAGCCACGTAGGAAGGTCTAGACTGGCTTCCTGGTTGGGGGGTCCTTGGGATTGTAAAAGCCAATGGCCGGTGCAGATGCACTCACTCTTTATGATTTGTCATATCCAGTAGAACTCTATTGTTCTTCCACATTACTACTATTCTGTTTTGCCTCATATTTCTGTTTATTATGTCTCTTTACTCTCTTTTCTTGCTTTGTATGCTACATAGAGTGTAGCAACTCAAACTGCTGCACATCTGTGCAAAGTCCTACGTTGAAACTGACTACAGTAGATTCCCAGACTGATTTCAAATTATTGAAGGTGTGCCTTGTTTTCCGAACCTGTCTGGCCTCATCTTCATCTGTACACCTTCTGCCTGTAATGCAAACGATGTTACCCAGAAAAGTGGAAGAGACGTCTTCCTTCAGACTACTCCTGTTGATAGTGATTGGTGCTTATTGTTGTTGGTCGGTGGTGGTGGTGGGTATCTCTTCATCACCTCTATCTAGTCAACGTTCACTCAAAGTCCTGTTTTCAATCCCAGCCCCTTGTGCCAATTTGTTAGTTTTCATCTGTGCGTCGGTGGTAAAGCGGTTAGGACGCTCGCCGACCATGCACATGGTCCAGGGTTCAGTCCCGGGCCACCGACGCACTTCTTTACCTCGCTAAACCAGAAATAAAGGCTGGTAAAGAGGAAAGGTTGGGCATGAGGCTGAAAACCCCAGTCTGTAAAAATAAACACTGCTACAGAAACTTCAAGCCTCAAGCTTGAAGCCCTATGTTCCCCTAGGAACGTGAAGGAATAAAAAACCTATGTAGATCTTCGAGTTCTAGGTGACATTAGACATAAATCGTCTGCGGAGTCCAGATCTTCTAAATCGCCGAATGAACATTTTACGTGATAACCGACGACCACTTACATTTCCAAACAGATGGCAATGAAGGCTAATAACACAATATGGCTACCCAAAAACTCGGTAGGTTAAAAGAGATTAGAACCAGACGCCCAGTACTTTGGTAGTCAGAAGCCTGGAGCAGTGAACCACACTTCCACATAGATTTTATGAGATGTGACCGTTATTGATGACATGATGACAGTAACAAAACGATTGAATAAGCGACTTCGCAATACCCTACAGGAACAATAAGATGGTCTTGTTGTAACCATGTTCATTTCAACAAAGAAACAGACAGTAAGAACATAGAGCCCAGGAATACTGCTTTGTCATCCCTCGTATAAATAAGCCAATCAAGAAGGTAAACCATAAGAATACGAAAAGGTGGAGTTATAATCAATTACAATCATAATGTGGCGTATGCTACTGATAAGGTTTGTCAGTAGTATATAAAAAGATGTTCGTTGGCATAATAACACCAAATAGAGGAGGGATAGATTTGGTGTTGTAGCAAAATATGGGAGACACGAAAAAAGAAGACAAAGAAACACAATACGAAGGAGGGGCAGAAGTAGGAAAACACGAAAGATCTGTGCAAATGACGATTTGAAGATAAGGTGTACGTGATTTCGCTATACAGAGATATCAAATTCTAAATAAACATCCCTCTATCAAGTCTCTCATCTTCTACCGTTGCAATAAACTGTTAAATGTTAGAAGATGAATAGAAAAAGATAAACCACTAATGGCATCTTTACTATAGAGATTCCATTCTGAGTCATGTTATTCACAACCCATGATGAAAATGGTGACACAATACAAGTTCAGATACCACACGTCTCAGTTCACCAGCCACCCTTTGCGGTTTCTTTCCACATAACTCTGGTTTGGCCTACATTGAAGATTGAGGAAGACATGTGAGACTTTTATATCAACCACTTCAGGCGATGAAGGTTTGTAATTCTCGAAACCGCAGCATTTCTCGTTTTATTTGAAACGTCTACGCTACTCGTGTGGTGTCGCAATAATATGTAGGCAGAGCTGGTCAATTACATGAAGTCTTTGCGGGCCCTCTAAAGTCTAATGTCCCTCTTTTGCAATGATACAGTAGGGTATAGAGAATACTGCTGAGCAAAATACCGCAATCTTCACGGCAATCAGATAGACTCGCCTGTACCACAGACCACACAATCTGATAGCAATTGAGTGAGCCTTTTGTATCTAAGTGGAGACTTCGTCAATCACCAACCAACCAACCAGCCTGCTGAACTAATTTGACTGTCAGCATAGGTGAAATGGTCAACACTTGACTGTTATATGCAGTAGTGAGTGTGATGTGGACCATCCGTAAAGTAACAACTTACGTCCCAAACATTCTCACAACTGGTTGCTTGGTGTTTGTAAGACTCTGTAAGTTTGTTAGCGTCTAACCAAACAGGACTAAGCCGTCTGCAGACTCCAAGTTGACACATAGTAACTCCTGCGAGGAGATCAATCCCTGTGAATTCAAATGTACAGAAAGATCTCCATAAACGTCTCTACCAGCAAAATTGATTAAAAATGAAGAGAAAGGGAAATTCTTGATTGACTATTACTCGATTTGTAGATTTCACCGGAAGATCATTATTCCACAGGCTCAAAAAACAATCAGGAATTTTCATGCTATGATACAGCTTTCAAAACTGGGATGAACTTAATGGACATCGATTACAGTGAATAACACCGTCATGCAACTAATCGTTTGATGGAGTCGAATGTCATCAGTCAATAGATGTGCTTCAGGATCTGACGGAGTTTGAATGTTACAAAGGTAAATTCATAGTCAGGTTTGAAAACAGTCTGGATTTCGCCAGTTTGTTGATCCTCAGTCCCTCATACAACTCTGTTCCATCAAATTCAAATATATCCTGGAGATAAGTTATCACTTCTCACACCATGCCAAATACCCATTGAAGTTGGGGTAGCTGACTGACAAGCAACCAAAGAATGGTTGAAAGCCCTCTGAATATGCAATTGTTATATTTCTTGACCTAAAGGCGGAAGTCAATTCCGTCGACCGAGAGGTACTCTGGCGATGTTTGGCTGTAAAGGGAATACCGAGAAAATACATTCCACTGACCAGGGCACTCTACTCGAACTCATGCAGCTAGTCAGGTGAGAGCTTACGGCGAGTTGTCATCTGTAATTCCATTATGGGTAAATTTTGTTTTGATAAAGTCTTACAGTGTTATACAGTAATGTTTACTGATGACGTTATCTGGACTGGTGACTACTTGTGGTGTCCATCAGGGATGCCCAATATCCCCATTTCTATTCAATTTCATCATGGATATCGTACTAATGAACTTAACCCTGAGCGACTTCAGTGGCTCAGGGATTGACTTGCTACCAGGGAATTATCTCGCTAACTTAGAATATGCAGATGATGTAGTCCTTCTAGGTGAAGACGATGACAAAATAGAGCAGAGTCTCCTGAACACCTTGAGCTGCAATCTTCGAATGTTTGGCATGCGATTCGCTCCCTTTGTCAAATGTAAGATTATGTTACAGGACTGGACTACACTGACACCTGGCTTAGAAACAGGGAGTGAAGTGGTAGAGCATGTTGACCGCTTCACTTATTTGGGAATTTGCATCAGCCAACGCCAGCGGGTTGATCGCTGACGAAATCTCAGCACGGATACAGAAGGCTCGTTTCGCATATTCCAGTTTACGCCATCTCTGGCTTAGTAGACGTGATATCCGGTTGGTTAGCTGTCGATCAAAGGATGTGTGTACTGCTCAGCAGTCCTCTCCGTCCTCATTTATGGCTGTGAGACATGCTGGCCAATGAAAGTGGATGACATGCAGAGCCTGGCTAGCTGTCTTTGATCATAAGTGCTTGCGTTCTATCTCCCATGTGAAATGGTATAATAGGAGGGGCAGTATTGAGGTTAGACGTCGAGTGCTAGGTAAGGAGGGGAAATCAATCGACGAGGTTGTGAAGTTACATCGATTGAGATGATTAGGACATGTGTTACGTATGCCTAGCCATCGCCTCCCTCGACAGCAGGCAATGTTAGCTGACATAGGATGGCTCAGGTTGGAAAAGAGCCACTGGTGGTCAAACCAAAACATGGCTTCATCAATCAATGAAATCCACAACAATCAGTTTAAGTCACGTAGGAGGATGTATACTTCCTGGTTGGGGTCCCCAGGGTGGTAAGAACCAATGAAGGCTGGAGACAATTGGTGATATCGCTCAAACTCATCGTTCTCAATGGCTGGTGCAGATGCATCCACTCCTTGTGACTTATAATTTCCAATGAAACTAGATGGTTCTTCGATATTACTAGTGTTCCTGCGCCATATCTCTGTTTACTGTCTCTATTTTGCATTTCCTTTTACTTTCTTCTCTTGCTTTGTGTGCTACATGGAGTGTGGCAACTTGAACTGCGGCACATCGGTGCAAAGTTCTATGTTAAAAACAGACAGAATATGCAAAGAACGATTGTAAGATTGGTTCCTGTGCACACTACGGATTAAATCATTGGACGACATACCATAGTCCAGTAGTACAAAGCTCGCCAACCACACCCCACGTGGTCCAGAGTGTTCCATTCCTGACGAGCAAACTCTTAAACCTCACTTAGCCGATAAAGAAGGAAGGTTTGGCTAGCAACCCCACCCCTTAAAATCAACACCGCTACTGAAACTTCGAAACTCAGGTCTGAAGCCCCATATTCCACTCAGAATGCAAAATAAATGGAAAAGAGCAGATGGAATGCCCAGTACAACTGTCAGTTGAAAATGACGTTGGGTGGAGTACAAAGTAAGATTAAACAGAATACAATTTTTTAATGTCTGGTTAACATCCTCCTCCTTTACCTACATAGTTTCATCAGCTTATGAACAACATGTGGGGCCAATATAGACATACGTCTTTTATGAGTTAGATATAGTAATTGAGTGCTTAAAAATCAATATATAAACTGCAAATCAATGACTTTTTTAAGCGTAAATAAGACTATCTACACTTACAGACAACAGCTTCTCAATGCTACTGGATTTTTTTTGTTGTTGTGTAGAAACATATCAACAACTCACCTCTAAGTATTCAAGAAATCCATCCTCATGTTCATTTGGCGCTTTTGGTTTCATCAAAGCAATCTGTTCTACTTCACCTTGTAGAATAAGGAATCTGTTATGATCAATATCTACACCATGACAACGCAAAAGATTAGCCACATCACGATAAACAGCTCGATTATTGTTGATCAAGTAACAACTGGAATTATCTTTATAAGCTCGACGTGAGACAACAAACTGAGTATCTGGAACGACCTGTGGAATAGCACAAAAATCAATAATAATAATAATAATCACGTGCGACTAAAAATATTCGAAATTGCAGCTTCTCATTTAATTATTAGCGTTAAACAATTCGTTTTAGAGAGAACAAGTCTCTTAAGACTTCCGAAAGACAAAGTTGACATGACACATCAGACATCAGGTTTTCCTGTAAATAAATCCCTCTTCCCGGGATGCAAATTATGATTTCCTGATGCGTATTAGCAATATTGGTTGACCACCGAATATCTCCGAATGTATTAAAAGGAAATCTCAGGACTTTCACTACTTACATTCACTACTTCCTGGTCGGGGTCCTCAGAATGGTAAGAACCAATGAAAACTGAAGACAATTGGTGATATGGCTCAAAATCGTTGTCAATGGTTGGTGCAGATGCATTCACTCTTTGTGATTGATCATATCCGATAAAATTCTACTGTTCTTCCACATTACTATTCTTCTTTCCTCATTCACACTTTTTGTCTCTGTTTTGAACATCCCTTTACTTTTTTCTCTTGCTTTGTGTGTTACGTGGAGGGAGTGTGGCAACACGAACTGCTGTACATCCGTGCAAAGTTTTACGTTGAAAGCAGTCAGTCACTTTCCAAAGGCACTATATTACACTACACAGAGGACTTGATTGCTATTGAGAATCACCTGAGATTTGTCATTCATCTACAATAGTCTACTGGAATTCCAAGTTCGTTTAAAAGTGGTGAGAGATTCAATTTTATGCTAGTAAACAGCTGGCATAACTGAATCTACGTTGTTTGTATGACAAGATGGCTCAATGGATACTCAGAACAAAAGGGTGGAGTATTTGAATATGTTATGCTGTGAAATATCTTAGTTACTCGGGAGAGATTTTGATGGCACCAGCCTGTGAACCCCATCTGTTGTATTGGGTATCATGATATGAGTCAGCTGTCCAGAATAAGCTAGAGTGGGATTCAAACCCTGGATCCGAAAATTGAAACTAGACAGCATAAGTATGTGGGTCACATTACATCTACGAACACGGTGGTAAAAAAATTAGTAAGCTTTAAAAATGTGTAATGTGATATTTAGAATAAAAAGTCACAGACTACAGAAGGGCGAACTTAGGATAGTACGGGGACTAAGAAATGTGTCACACAAAATAATTCAGTAACGAAATAAAGAATAACAAAACATTTGGGAAATTACAGAATGAAAACAGGTAAGCATATTTATTGAGCGCATCGAAGGAAGCGTTGATTAATTCACTTTTTATAGAAATAATAACAAAACGTAAGTAAATTTGCCATTGACTTTGATTCTAAGCTACATCCACGTCTCTCTGACCTAACTCAGAGAGTGATTCACTAACAAACGCTAACGCAACATAATTACCTTTCATCTTATGGAGCTTTAATAGGTTGACCATTTTGCTGTTTTTAAAACTACAGTCAAGACTAGTATGTTATCAACTGTTTACTTCAGGGTGAACAGGTAATTGATCTATGCCGACTTCAACATACACATCCTTCAGAGTTGTCAAAATGTAATTGATGAGAATGTTAAAGAGAAATGGTGAAATTAAGCAATTATAAACTTGTTGATGATTAGAAAAAAGGGTGATAGGCATTTGCATCCCCCTATTCCAACTGAGGCATTTTTATATCCACCATTCAAAATGTTGATTAACTTCTAACACCTGACACTAATAGACAATTCTAAAGTGTAGTGGTGTCTTAGCAAAACACCCTCAACTCAGAGCACATGTGTGGTTTTCAACTACCTAAGCCAACCAATAGTGTATACCATCCTGCCGAATATAACGGATTCTGACCCGTAACACCTGGGAAAAATTGATATTTTATTGTTTGCAATCAAACAATCAAAACAGTAAAGAGGTGGTCAACAGAAAAAACATGACAAAGAATGAATCTGAATATCAAAATCAAGCAACTAAGTAAAACCTGTAACATGATAAGACAATCAACAATGATATCCGTATCGATCACCTAGACTTTTGCAGATATTACCTAACTATCTCATATTCGACTTTTGATTAAACAACAGCATTTACAAAATTCACTTAATTATCGAAAGTCATTTTGAAAGCCACTGTCTGTCTATCATAAGAACATTAAGTAATACAGTTGTCTTCAACCTTAATAGATATGCAGTAACCTAAAACAACAAACTCACTTCATAATCCATAGCACCAGGACCATGATCAATGATTTTTTGGAAATGAACTGACACCATACAACTGGGGGCATTAGGCACTAATTCACTATTGTGTATTAGCTGACTTATCTTCTTCGAACGCACTTTTGACGCTCGATATCCAAACACAAAAAGCATTGAATCAATTACATTGCTTTTACCGCTGCCATTAGGTCCTATAAAACGTGTATAAAATATAAATATCACAAGCGCATACCGATGATACAGCTGAAGTTTTTATGAAATGGTCCCATAACACGTATACCTCCATATGATTTGAAATTTTCAGTAACAATCTGAGTAATTATTAGTCTGGGACCAGTAGCATCTCGAGATTGCACCAGTGGAGGTGGTGGAGGAATCTCCAATGGTGCACAGTCATTTAGAACTTCTTCATCATTTACGAATGCTTGCTGTTCCTTAGGCTCTTCAGGATCAACGTCCATCGGGGTTCAGTTCTACTAAAAACAAGAACAATAAGAAACATTTTATGGAAATTTAGTGGGATATACACACACATACAGCCTACACCTAATTTTGAAGTGCAACGAAACACAAGACCTATTATAAAATTGTTTGAAGAATTGGAGGGACGTAGAAATCTCCGAAATATTGATACATAAGTCAATGTAATTATTCCTTCCTATTATTATAAACCAATTTTTGAACTCCCTAAGGAAAATATTCATTGTACTTTGTTATTTGACTTCGCAACTGTCTACAAGTTTTTACTTCTTAGCCTTAACCTTACTTAATTCTATATCTCACCACATTGCAAGATGTGAGAATATATTACAATACGAAGCTGTGGATCACTAGTTTAGGCTCTGGAATTTCAACCGGATATTACAGCGGACAACGATATCATGTACCCAGGTCTTCACAGCCAACATTCACACAGTAAATGTGGCTTATTTCCAGGTGTCAAAAACCAAATGTCTGTCAAGTAGGGTCTATTTACCTGTCACTGTTACAACTTAAAACAATTTTCCTCAAGAAACAATGAAGTTTCGGCGAAGTTCAACAATAGCGTCCCAGGAGTGCGAACGCCATTCACCAACTAGGGAGCAAATTTCACCAAAGAATGTAAACGAAGTGCGGGCAGAAGTCACGCCGAATTGAATTCCCACAGAATTTCGAGTGCAATTCTATGGATCACTTCTCTTACACACCTGACAAAGAACAGTAAGAACGCATATCAAACAGGTGTTCTATAATTCTCAGTGTTTATGACATGGTTCCAAGTCTTTTTATTCTTCAGCACACAGTCGATGGAGCAGTAAGTCGCTAGTACTGAGTGTTTCCAAGGAGACAATGAGGCATTTCGCGATGTGAAGCTACGTAGATGTTGGGCGTACTGTCATCAACATACCATGAGATAAAACACAAATGACGTAAGCAATCTTACAATTAGTAACCTGACGCCCGAATACTACGGTTATATGCTACATTTATATCAATTGATATAATTTGAGGTTTAAAAACAAGAAATCAAAGGTGGAGGACTTTGTCAGATAACCCAAACTCCGCACTTTCATTTAAAGTGTTCTTCATATATTTCTTCTGATTTAAAACCAATAATTCCCGATAAAAATTTAAATTATAATTTATGATTATAAACGTCGCTAATATTTATTCCTTTACTACACTTACTCCTGTTACTCAGACATCGACTGCGTATCTTTAGAAAACAGGTTTATTAAAACCACAATCAGTGAGTAAAACTGTAATTCAAACACACCAAGACCGCTGACTTACAAATAATGCTACAACATTAAACATCCACAAGCAAGTTCGAATTATATTCAGCGCCCATGCTTGTTCAAGTATCCAATAATTTTTCTGAAGCTCGCATAGACCTTATCATTTCTGAGAACTAGCTTCATGTTATTATTTCAGCCCTGATGCGTCATCAGTTTTATGCCTTTTAAGCTGCATGTCTGCGTTTTTCTGTTCATTGTCTAGGTATGAGTCGTGAGTGCAAATAACATAGGCGTTTTGAAATTTAAACAACTTGTTCTAACTTCAAGAAAGCAAATATTAGATATCACTAGCTGTTATTCAACTAACTATTGCATTAATTCAAGATATAATAGCTATTTGGAAGGCATTCCAATAATCCATTTCAGAAACAAAGAATTCGTCGAGTGATGATTCTGAAATCAATAGGAATAAACGAAGTCGATGAATCACCGTCATCCCTCATCAGTCAGTTGTACGGGCAGACTGAGGTTAAAACCCCATCCTTCTGCCAGACAAATGCTTTGTGCCGTCACACTGACCTAATCATAGTGACAACTGAGGCATCTGAATTATTGTATGCATTAACTCAATAGACAAATGAGGGGACAGATATGTTCGTCTTCTGACTGATAGTGGTATTGAAGCACAAGAAGTAAAATTTCAGCGAGTGACCGATTTCTACATCCTAATTTCTAGCTCAATGAAACAGCTCATCCATCTCTTCTGCTGAAAAGATTACATGCTTTTGATCATTTAAAAGCGTTTTACCGTGTCCGTAGCTTGTAGAAGTTACTTTGAGCCATACAAACTACATTTTACACACCCTTAGCCTATATTAGAAGTCATTTCCAGTGCCTTAAACTACCCATCCATAGACATCACATCATCTGTTTATGAGATTGTGGAATAAGTCAATGGGAAGAATGTAGTTGGACACATGCGCTAAAGAATTATTTCCTTCAGTACAACGTGACTTCTCCAAAAGTCTTCCATGCTCGACCTGCTTGCCTAGATTCTGTCAGCGTGTTGTTGATTTCTTGATATCAATCAACCCTTTGACAAGGCTGTTAACAAAGTAACAGTAAAGAAGCTAAATGTTCGATTTCCAAGGTGTTTGCTGTCTTTATTTAAATTATCATTTGAGAGCAGCTTCCAGTTGATGTAATTCTTCAGTCTGTTTTCACAGGCATGTACAAATTGGGGTGAAACTACGGTACTGTAGTTTGGCTAGTTCTCTTTCAGTCATACATACACGATACCTGCGAATAAGTGAAGTTTGGCGCCCCATTTCACCTCGATGATGACCTGGCAAAACAGAGTTCACACCCCCTCCTTACACAGCACGCAAAGATGAACCCACCATCATTGAAGATGACTGGGATGGTCGATATCACTGAAGAAATTTTTTACGTTTACCCTAACCTAACGTTGTATCTTGGTAAATACCCTTAGCAGACTCCTAGTTCTGTGAAAGACCTTACTGTTGCTTGCTCATGGAAAGTAACACCTACAGTTTATGCTCCAGCTACTGTCCCAAAAAGCTGATGACCACTAATAATTCGATGTTGCGAATGACATGATGCGATCAACAAAATTTTCATACTTATATTGCTTTGGTACTTAATGAATAGTGAACTGCTTATTTATAAAATGTCATAAGTTCACCGATAATAGATTTCTTTGGACCATTCTGTTTCTCCTAGGCTTTCATTTCAGGATTCTCGAAATGCAGTAATTCCTACTAGCTCTTTGTTTTAATGCTTTCCTCAGAGACTTCCTTTGACAGAACAAATCAACTGTTTTTGGTTCTAGTAAACAAAGGCTGAGGGGGGATCTGTGAAATTCACAAATACCATCGAACATCAGACACTTTATCTCAATGACCATCATGGCTATCTTTGTGCAGTCTAAATATGACAGACCGCGGACCAGAGCCTGTTGCTTAAAAATTTTACTCTTATCCTCGTACCTTTCAGCCAAAATACATCCCAGAACATTTATAATAATAAGAGCGACTTTATTGCATATCCCCTCAATGACGTTTGTCTCTGTGTTGCTATTGGTTTCAAGTGGCCTTGGTTTCGGGGCGAGATTTAACTGATATGGACACAAGTGATGAAACGAAGCTCTATAGAAATCACTGAGACGCCACAAACAGGAGGATTTTAGGTGCACCCTATAATTTACACATGAAACACATTCTCAAGCATCCTCCTGCACCACAACTGCCTTCAGGCCTAGAGGCAGCTCTTGACGACTATTCTTAACAAAATCAATACAGTTCAAGCCAAACAGAAACCAGAATCACGTCAAATGCAGCTACCTAGATCAAACGAAACAAATCAGCCAAACTGAAATCAACTAGACCACGCAAATGTACTCAAGGTAAAGCTGGAGGCGCTACTTCAAACAGGGGATATGCCTTATCAACTCCTATGTTATGAATTACAATCGTAATGTATCATGAATTAATAGTTTAACAAAAGTTTAAATTGTTCGATTATTGTGCAGGCAATCAGATCAGGTCCATAAAAATGGTAAACTGTAAATCCTTCACTAAAGTCACCATCAAAGTTGAGCGCCAACCGAAATTTCGTTCTGTTTTATGCTGATAGTAGTGGTCAACCAGTCAACAGCATATATTTGGGTAAGTGCCGAGCCGCCACGTGATTATAAGCTATTTTAGGAAAAGAAGAACGTCCTGGGAAACTGCAAAATGGTATAAAATACAACTATGGATAATACATCATTGAAAGTACATCTACAAGATATATACAAGAAGGATTTATAGAGTCCTTGGAATGATAGCTTACATTTGAAAGGTTCAGGACTAACCATAGTGGTTTGGGCAGAGAAACTATAAGGTTTTCAGTGAAAATATACCTTTGCACAAACATTCGTGTTGTTGTTGTGTATTTCATAAAGGCAACCAGACTTTAAGCAAGCAACGAAGATGAACAAAGTGTAAGTTTATGCTTTATTAAGGGCCTAGGAAGTTAAGATGAAATAGAGTATAATAGTGAGTAAATAAAAAGATTATCGCGGGGTAGATAGGTGATATTTCAGCGAGAAGTTGATTCAAAGCCCTGGAAGATTAGAACCAGTGAGACAAGCTGACCTGTAAGATGTCTCACGAATTTCTGTACGGCCCATGGGGTAGCATCTTGACAAGAAGCTGAGCAGGCCTGCAGATGGTAGGAGTAAAAGCACTTTTTATTTAGAATTTAGAACTGTGCAACCCTTATTTTTTTGTTAAGGATCCAGACTAATGTTTAATTCTCGGGCTGTCAAAAGATGTACATTGCTGTTCTACAGATCGGAGCGATTCACATTTGTGACCACCACCACATCTGCTGATGAGTATGCGCGACCCTTCCTCCCTTTTTGGTGCTAAGCTCTGAGGTTTCTACGATAACTGTAGTTGTAGCATTGCATTACTTTGAACCAGCCCTGATAATACAGTATGCTGCACACTAATAGCTTTCATGATCAGTGTTCCCATTAGGTCACCAGATACATCGGCACCTGAGAACATTCTTAACAGTATCACCTTTAAAGATGCATACAGGTATGTAAACAGGTTATTACAAACGACCAGGAAATTAAGTTTCTCTTCAAAATTATAAAGTATAGAAGTAGTTAGTATTACAATGACTACGTTATAGTGTATTTAGCAGAGTGAAACGGACTGAGATTAACCTAC